CCCCCCGGGCCAACTTCTGCAAACTCCCTCTTTGCTGCAAAGCTTTTTCTGGGAATGGCCAATACCCAATTCTATGGAAGAGGGAGAGGCATTTTTGTGTAAGAATTGTGAGTTGTATTCCTCAAGAGACGTAACAATTTGAACAGTTAAGATGGACGTGAAAGAGAAATATGCTTCCAACAGACACCTGCAAAATACATACCGGTGAGCTCATTGATCTTCTTAAGTAGTTGCTGAATGTCATCTTCTACTTGCTTGATCTGCCTTGAGTAAGTGCTCTGGCCCTGGTCATTTTTTTTAAAAAGTTAAAGGGACAAGGTTCAGGAAATAAAGAAAAATATGTGAGCAAATAGGTCATCCAAGTTATAACCAAACTACCTTTTTATAATTAAAGAGTCAACTGTCAAAATTCAGATCAACAAAGAGCCAGTGTAAAAAAGCCTATTTGCAAAACTGAACATATACAACTTAAAGTTACTGATAATGGAGATAGTGATTAATAAATCAGCAATCCAAACACTGGTTGTTATGAGTCCTTTATCAGGAAGGAGCACACACGAGGTGTCGTAATAAGTAAATATACACAGGAGAACTCCCGCGTGATTGTTTTAGTCCCCTTGCATAAACCTACATATAGTTCGCAATTGGATTACCAACAACTTTTTATTGCTCTCACTTCCCTTTCTGAAAAACCTTCTGGTCCCAGAAAAGACTTAGTCCACCACTCTTTCACAAATTGGATATTCCAGCATCCCACCTGCCCATCCAATTCAGTTTCTTTTTTGAAAAGCCATAAGTGCTTTCATGCCAAGCCACATCTGGATCTATAGCCATTGGCTGCAGAGTCCTGCACAGTCACTTCCTAATTCCACTGGCAGCAGTTCTTCAAGATCTCAGGCAGAGCTACTTTCTTAGCCCTGTTATGAGAATACATGAGTCACTGGAAAAGACAATAATGCTAGGAAAAGTTGAGGGCAGCAGGAAAAGAGGAAGACCCAATATGTGGTGGATTGATTAAATAAAGGAAGCCACGATCTTCAGTCTAAAAGACCTGAGCAAGGCTATTAATGATAGGACATTTTGGTGGTAATTCATTCATAGAGTTGCCATAAGTTGGAAGTGACTTGATAGCACATAACACACACAAGCTACAGCCTTGTTCAGACCTTCCCTTGGTTTAGTAGAGTGATATATACTATCATTTCAGAGCTTATGAACCTCATGAGTTGGTAAGTATCAGTACCAGCTTGTGCATATGTGGACAATACTTTTAGGAGTTGTTGTTTATGGGGCTTGAGTCTCTTCACAGCTCTTTATTTCTGCAGCATTTCCAATTACAGCATAGGCCGCTTGCCCTAAATTGTATGTGAAGACATAGTTTCGTCTTTTGGACCCACTCCTGGAAAGTGTAAGTTTCAAGCCTTCCATTTGCATCTTACAAGATAGATTTTGAGAATGGCTTTTTGCTAATTGAAATCTTTACTAACGTTAAAAGCTGTCAGCTACTGCTACAAAACTTAGGCACTGCTTTAAGCCAAGTCGCATCGGGCAAGATGTTTGGGCAAGATGTTTGCCAAACTCTTCAGGGTAAACACTTCTTGAGTTTAATTGTCTAAAGTACTTACATAGGTTTTCAACAGGGCAATGTCACCTTCATCCAAAGCTGCAAGAAAGAGATACAAACCCACATTACCTTAAAAGGTAAAGAAAGTATCTTTTGCTTTTACGTTAAAATTAAAGCCCCACCCTGGCGAAGAATCCCATCAACAATTTTATCAGTTTGACCAAAAAGCCAATCCTGTATAAATAAGATGCAGTATTTGATTTACTTAAATTTATTGTCCACATTTATCACTGAGACTCAAAAGTTTACTACTCGGTATAAGGAGATAACTAATAAGTAATGCACTAGGACTAGGGTTACAGAAATCTGAACCCAGCAGACTATTAAACACACTATACTATACAAATACAATGCAGACAATGGTGTTATAATGCTGAAAATTGGTATCGTACCATCAGAAAACAATGCAGTGACAACAGGTGTACTGCAAACAGATATATACATCCTGTTCACAGCCATGCAGGCCACAGTCCCTTTTCCTTTATAAAACATCTGCCTGAAGCATTCTGGTACAGTATATGACCTTTATGAACATTCTCTCCTGAACGAGTCCTGTCTCACATACTTTGTTAAGCATTAAAAATACTAAAACAGTATGCTAAAATGGCAAACCTAAAAATATTTACTAGCAAGCAAATTCCACTTTGCGCAGCACATCAAACACTCTAAAGAGCTATACAGTGAGCATTAAAAGTCTATGTCCAAAACAAATCAGTGTACTAGGAAAAGGAAGCTCCTTTACAGCTATAATCCTGAGTTTGGAGCGGCCCACCGAACGCAACAGGGTTTACTTTGGAGAAAATACACACTGCAGATTGTCATTCTGGGGTGGGTGGAACGAATCTCAGGCCTGAGAACAACGCATGACCAGTGGAACCCAAACAGCGCCCAAAAGGGGACCTGCGGACTGGCATCGTTTCCTTCAGAGGGTAGCCGATTTTAAAGTGGGGCTATTGTACGCTCTCACCGCGGATGGGCTTATCCTCCTTCTCCTCTTCTTTGGTTTTGCGCTGATCGGCGCCCAGGTAATCCGGCATTATAGCACCCCTTCCAGAAGCTCCGAGCTAGGAACCTTCCCAGACAACCAGTCACTACACATGCGCAACTTCAGTATTACACAGCACTAACGAACACTTTCTTCCGCGCCAGGAAAGGAAATTACGTCAACAGTAGGCACCAACTTCCCGGCTCGGGGAAGAGGGAAGGAAATAGGTGACGGAACAACGCAGTGATGTTTCCATAGCCCCCCCCCCTCTCTTAAAAGGCTGTATTGATTTGCGGTTTTAAATTGAAAGCCAATCGTGGCCCATAGAGATAGAAAAGAATGCTCCATAGAACTTTCGGCATCAAGATTTTATTTCTGTCTCCCCGACCGTGGACGCCCAACTTCTGAATTGTGACAAAACAGAGGAATTAAAGAATTATGATAAATTTGGCAAAAGGAAGGAGGGACGGGGACGGGGAGGGGGGAAAGAGAAAACCTCTTTTGTGCCTGTTCTCAAAGAATGGCATGGTTCCAGTCTGTAATAACAACCATTATCCGGGACATACTAAAACTAAGGACAGCGATTGATTGCCCATAGGGAATACATGAGTGTCCATAGAGAATAATGGAGAGGAGGCTTGCCCAGAGAAGATAGAGGTCATTCTTGCTCCCCCAGCTCTCCTTAGGGGCTCTTTTAAAAGTTATGGCTGCCGCCGCTGGCACCAGCAGCTGCAATGGCCGCAGGGGGGAGTACGCGAAACCTTCCCCCACCTCCCTGAGCCCGGGGTTGGTGGCCTTGGACTCGTAGGGGCAAATTCCATCTCTGGCGTGTGGGCGTTGCCGCTCTGCCATCACACGCAAGAGGATATTCTGGCTCCCCCAGCCCTCCTTAGGGGCTCTTTTAAAAGTTATGGCCGCCGCACTGGCGCCAGCAGCTGCAATGGCCGCGCGGGGGATGTTCCCCGCCTCTCTGAGCCCCGGGGTGGTGGCCTTGGACTCGTAGGGGCAAATTCCACCTCTCGCATCTGATGGCCAAGCGGCATTGCCGGTCGGCCATCACATGCAAGAGGTCATTCTGGCTCCTCCAGCATTCCTTAGGTAAAGGTTTCCCTTGCTTGAAAGCCACTCGGGTCCGACTCTAGGGTTGCAGTGCTCATCTCCGTTTCAAAGCCAAAGAGCCAGCGCTGTCCGAAGATGTTTCTGTGGTCATGTGGCCAGCATGACTAAACACCAAGGCGCACATAACGTTGTTACCTTCCCACCAAAGTGGTACCTATTTATCTACTTGCAATTTCTTGCTTTCGAACTGCTAGGTTGGCAGGAGCTGGAACTAGAGATGGGAGCTCACTCCGTCATGCGGCAACTCTGATCTCGAACTGCTGAACTACTGACCTTCCACAGCCTGCAGTTCAGCGTCTTAACCACTTCAGCCACCACAGCTCCTCAGCTCACCTTAGGGGCTCTTTAAAAAGTAATGGCCGCCGCGCTGTAGCCAACAGCTGCAATTGCGACAGGGTGGGAAACGTTCCCCCACCTCCCTGATCCCCAGGGTGGTGGCCTTGGACTCCTAGGGGCCACCTTTTGCGTGATGCCGTGGCCATCACATGCGAGAGGTCATTCTGGCTCCCCCAGCCCCAGAAAGTTATGGCCCCCTCGCTAGCGTGCCAGCAGCTGCAATGGCCGCAGGGGGGGGGTTGGGCACGAGTTCCCCGCCGCCCTGAGCCCCGGGGTGGTGGCCTTGGTCTCGTAGGGGCAAATTCCGCCTCTCCGCCTTCTGTCTGTATTTTCTTTGGAGGATTAGAGCAGCTGTTTGTTTTCAGGCACTTCTAGAGGGGTTCGTCTATGGTGGCAAAATAATTATAAAACATAAGACTGGTGGCATAGTGAGGCGACACTTGAAGGCCTCATGATGGAATTAACCCGCTGCCTTAATAGCACCCCATGATCCCCCCATAACCTGCCCCATAAGAAGGAATCTCGGTTTTATTTTCAGACGTATCTGAGAAAGTGAGCTTTGGCTCAAGGAAGCTCATACTGAAATAAATCTCCTTAAGGACATTTTTTTATTTGTAAACAACAGACTAACGTGGTTAACCGTAAAAACTGATTCCAACGTGAGTTTTCGGGCGTCTGAGCTTGCTTCCTCAGACGCCACGAAGAGCTCCCGCAGGCACAATCGCTGGTCTTTAAGATCCCACGGGAGTTCTACATTCTATTACGTTCAGATAGGCTTCTGAGGTAAAACGGAAGAGGGGGGGCGAGTGACCCAGCCCGTGCCCCGGAAGCGGTTGCTGGGTTCCTGCACACGCCGGCTTTTAGTAACCAGCGACCGGGGCCGAGAGGAAAGCCGCCGGGCTGTGGCGCGCAGGGGGCTCCTCAGAGGGCGCCATGATGCTGCGTGGGGCTCCTGAGGGACAGGCCACGGCTGTCACCCGGCCCCTGTCCACGGGTAGGCCGCGGCTCGTCTGTCCTTTCCTCCCCGGCCCAGGGCGGCCCTTCTCTCTCTCTCTCTCTTTCTCCTTGCGCTGCCCGGCAGCGGAAGCCTCGGGCTCCCCGAGATCGGGGATGGCTGGTCTTCGTGCAGGTTCATTCCCGGCTCCTCTTCGGGGGGTGGAAGTGCTTCTGCTCCGGGAAGGAGGAGTGTTGCCTGACCCTCGGCTGGCCTTGTCCGACTAGGCTCCCTGTCCGGGGGGGGGGGGGCGCGGGTTTAGCAGCTCGGGCGTCTCGCGTGTAGCAGCGATCCGTCCGGCACGGCTAAGAAGAGTTGGTCCTATTGAACTTCTTTTTTGCAGCTGTCAAGACTGGCCAGAAGGAAAAAAGAGTAGTAGCCAGAGATAGTGCTGGGACGGGAAGGGAGGCTACGCTGGGGATAAGGGAGAGGCTTTCGGTTGAGACCAGAACAAACTCTCCCACCTACCCATCTTTATTTTACAAATACTTTTTTCATAGAGGTGGGCACCTCTTTTTTTGGGGGGGAGGGTTTAATTTTATAACCTGGGTCGGTAGAATCATCTGTTTTCCTGGAATAATTAGCTTCTCTTTTCCACGGTGAGGCTTCTTTGATATTTGTGGAAATAGTTATTTCAGTAAAGTTAAACCCTTAATGAAGCATAACGTTCCTGTTGACAGAACAGGTGCATGTAAAGGAAAAGACAATTTCCTGATAGCTGAAAAATGCCCCTGATCCCACTGTTCTTTGGTAACTGCAAAGCAATGGAATGCTTCAGTTTTCCCATTTTCTCCAATTAAAGCCTTCCACCACAAAATTCTGCTTCTGTGTAAACTTTCTCATAGGTTATTAGGAAACTCATCTACGGCTGCGGTCACACGGAGCATTAGCCACACTACTGAGACGGATGATAGGTGGATTTTCCGGGCACGATCACACTGCAACATCTGGGAAGCGTAGAGCTCCCATGGAGCTGAAGATGTGGAGTTAAAAACTAGTACCTCTGAGGTACTAGTTTCCGGAAACCGCGGGGCAAGGGCTAGCATCTGATCGCGTTTCCGGTGGTAGTCCGTGGCATCCGGCACCCACCCATGTCCCGTCACAAACAGGTTTTTTTTCCCAAGTCTCCACAGGATGCGCACAAGCACCCAACGGCGCATGCGCACGAAGAGAAAAGCAAAAGTTCTGTTGCTCCGCAGAATCACGCATGCCGTTGGTGAGATCACGCTGCGTCATGTGATCGCCACCTCGCCCCTACCCATGGGACCTCGACGGGACGTGTGATCGGGCGGCCGCGCGTTATTTTGCTCCGGGGCAAACTGCCACGCTTCCCCCCTCCCCCCGCATTTTATGGCCAGTTTGACCAGGACCTTTAAAACTTTTGCTCCTGACAATTATGATGGCACAGAAGAGTATAGAATTCACAGTTGCCAAAGATGTAATGTGACTTTTCAAGAGCAAAGTGACTTTTCAATGAGGATTTTGGTTAGCCATCTTGGTTACTAATGATGTGCTACTGTTAATCATGGATTGGACTCCTATCAGCTTTTCTACAGATGTAAGAATAAGCAGAGGCCCTTTTGACACCACTTCCCTAGGCTACACTGGGAATTGTGAGATGGTGGGTGGGGCTACAACCATCAAAAAAGATTGCCATTCCTTCTTCTTGCACAAGTGGAAAAACTTTAGAATCTAAATACCATGTATTTAGTGCCAACCATACTTCCCTTTTACCAGGCCCACTTTTTCATGTGAAAATCACATAAAACTGGCCTTGTAAAAAGTGGTGTTGGTTTCAGGATGTAAATCCTGGTGACATATATATATATATATGCTCAGAATAATTATTAAATTAATGCTCCAGTCTAGGAATATGTCTACATATTTTGTGGATATAGGGTTTATGCAGTTGTATTCATTTTGAAAATACTTGTATGGGTTAAGTGACTAAACTCTGTACTTATTATATGAAGGAAGCTTTTTTGTATTGGCTAGTATGTTTGGTACCATAACTTAAGTCACCTAACACTTGTTTCATGTTGCGTTAGTGGAGCCTTCAGTTTGAGCTAAATAAATCAGTACTTTTGCTCATCTCCTTGAGGTTTGCCTGGCACCTATGTTGTTCTCTTTTAAGTGTCAGGCCAAAATATCTTGTTTTCAAGGCTCTTAATTAAGGGGCTGATTTTTTACACTATCTTTATAGTGTGATTTTAGTCTGAAATATGGTATTCATCTTTAGCTTCTCAACTATCCACATTTTTATTTTCAGGTTGGGTTCCCCCCCCCCCCCCCCCCAATTTCCAACTTTTTGATACTTTACTTTGCAAGCCACCTCAGGCATAAAAGTGTCCTAAATAGATACATGTAAGGTGGTACAGTCTCCCCATCTCCATTGTACTTCAACAGTATCTCTGTCAGGTAGGTTAGGCTGAGAAAGAGTGACTGGCCTAGTGTCACCCAGCAAGCCATGTGGCACTATGGAGATTTGAACCTGGGTCTCTTGAGTCCAGCACTTGACCACTACACCAAACTTGCTGTGCAAAATCTACATGAGTCAGGATTTCAGGTAGTGGAGAAAGGGGTTCCCTATACGAGTTATTTTCTTAGCAAATAGGTCATGTAGCACCAAATATCCTGTTATATCTGATTCCTGAAATGTATTACAACCATCACAGGTTTTAATTTGTTGTCCCAATGTTGAGCAAATTGGAAGGTCTTGTAAACCTGTTTATTTTTAAAGTTGTTAGCAATAGAAAGTGAAGATCCTGGAAATGTTAAACCAACATATCAGTGAAATATATAGCTATTACTTGATCACTGGCAAAAATAAACTTAAGTAATGAAATGAATATTTTATTTATTTTAGAAAGCAAAATGTAGCATAATTAAAATTATAAATAAAATATAAATAAAAACAATTTTAAAATCATTACAGCTGTTCTCAAACATGAGTATAAAAACATAAAAATAATGTCAATGATTAAGGAAAAAACAAATCTTGTCAAATTCAGCCAGTACAAAGTGCCATCCTCAAGAGTCAGGTGACCTCTGAAATACTGAGAAAGTGGCCAACTACCCTTCGAAGAGCTGGTCTGGCCCTCTGTCCTCACAACCCTACAAAAGCCAGGACACAGAGAAGTGACCACTTCCCAGGAGTTCTGAGGTAGCAGGAAAAATTCTGTATGAGGGGAGACACTTGATAAGTTGGTCTTGTGCTTTCTTTCACAGCTTCTGTGCTCTGCCAAGTTGAGCCTGTGGGGCGATGGTTTGAAGCATTTGTTAAGAGGAGAAACATGCATGTTTCTGCCTCTTTCCAGGAGCTGGAAGATGAGAAAGAGCTCTCTGAAGAGTCGGGAGATGAAGAACTACAGCTGGAAGAATTTCCTATGTTGAAAACACTTGATCCAAAGGACTGGAAGGTACATGTGGCAATTTTGTTTGCTTATGGTTTTCATGACAGTTGCCTATGATTAGCAGTGACTCTCTTCAAGATTGCAAAATAAAATAATTATTTTTCATTCTGTGCATTGTTTATTCATAGACTTTTTTCCCAAAGAGAGATGAGATGTGTAAAGTGCAAAATGTTTTGGGCTTATGAATTCAAAAGCAGATTTTATACAATATTGTGAAAGGTGTTGTTGGGTTGATTTGATATGAAAGATTTTTTGAAGTAGCCACTTTTCCCTCTTTGGGAAATTAAGTCCCCCTCTCCTTGAGTGGATTACCCAGTAGCATTTGGTGTTATGGTTTGTCTTTTCTAATAGGGTTGTGCTTATAACATGCAGTTTTTCTGGTCACTGTAATGCTAGCCATATAATTCCAAACTAACCTGCATCTGCTAGAGTAAAAGTAAGACTGCTGGAGCTCCAAAGCTCTCAACAGTATGAGGGACAACCCATAATTAGGCAAACAGTGCATTTTGTGCTCTAAAGTTCCAATAAAGGGCATAATTTCTATCTTGTACTGAATTTGTCTGTTATGGAACTTTTTTATTGCTGATGTACACACTTTCCTTTCCCCTAACTTACAGGTTATAGGTAAAATCATAAAATTCCACATTAACCCATGTCACACCTACCCATAGAAATCACTGCCCAGGCTCTCTCAAGGGTTTCTAAAGGCTGGAACTGACCAGGCACCCCCCCCCCACACACACACATTTGCTCATCGAACAGGTCTGACACGTAGCAACTTATTTGGAGATATCACTTCTCATCCCAGGTGTCTTTGGATCAAATGCAAAGTCTTTAAATAACCAAAGTGCCCAGATAGTTTGTTGTCATGTCCCATGTTTGTAACATGACAAGCGAAGGGGGGAAAAAACAGAACTTAAGGAAATGAAAGCCTATGCTGTGCATATGTTTTTTCTCTCTTGTACGTCAAGCTCTAAAAAGGTCCAGTATTACACAATTAAGGTTGATAATGAAGAAATTGTTCAAGATTTTCTATTCCTTGGCTCCATCATCAATCAAAAGAGAGACTGCACCCAAGAAGGAGATTGAAACTGGGGAGGGCAGCCATGAAAGAGCTAGCAATGATCCTTAACAGTAAAGATGTGTTGCTGGCAACCAAAAGCAAGTTTTCATACCATAGCATTCCCCTTTACTATGTATGGGTGTGAAAGTTGGATAATGAAGAAGGCTGACAAGAAGAAAGTAGTAGAGTTTGAGTCCAGTGGCACCTTTAAGACCAACAAAATTTATTCAAGGTTCCTTTGAAATATGGTGTTGAAGGAGAGTTTTATGGGTACCGTGAACCACCAAAAAGACAAATAAGTGGGTTCTAGACCTAATCAAGCCTGAACTCTCCCTAAAAGCTAAAGTGATTTAATTGAGGCTGTCATAATTTGGTCACATCATGAGAAGACAAGAGTCACTGGAAAAGACAATAATGCAACGAAAAGTCAAAGGCAGCAGGAAAAGAGGAAGACCCAACATGAGATGGATTGATTCCATCAAGGAAGCTGTGACCCTCAGTTTGCAAGACCTGAGAATGGCTGTTAATAACGGCATTTTGGAGGGCATTAATTCATAGGGCCACCAAGTTGGAAGCGACTTAGCACTTAATACACATTAGTCTAAAGACTAGAAAGACAGCAGTAATAGGGAAAGGTTGATGGGTAGGAGAGGAATAGTAAATAACTTTGCTATTTGTCTGCTTTCATGGGCAGTTGCTACTTAACATAGGTGATTGAAAAATTATAATACTGTGTTTCAAGCTACTTTATTGAGTTGATTTACAGTGATTCTGCTAGCAATTACATCAGTAATACCTTGGAACATTTTCCCCAGTTGACTGTTGATCTTTAACCTGCTGCACACTTTGTGCTTTGCCAGAATTGGAAAGACTTCCTTATTTGTTGATGTTTTTATTTTGTAAATGTATTTAATTTCATTTAGATAGCAGCCGTTAATATTTACTTGTCTTTCTCAGAATCAGGACCACTATCTGGTTCTTGGACTGGGACATATGCGATTCAAGGCTTCTCAGAAACAAATTAAAGCAGCTCGTAAGTACCTGGCATTGATTCTTGGTGATGAAAATGCTTTAGCTTGTGTAGACAGTTCTGTGCTGGTTTTTAAAAATATCGATTTCAAAAAGAAAACATTTGACTTGCTTTATATTTCTTTTCAACAAAAGTGTTCTCAAAACTGTTCACATAAAAATTCAAACTAGTAAAAATATTATAAAAGTAAAAATATGGTGATATATAAGAGCCTTCTTTGTGAATGGAGCTTGATCCAGGTTTAATGGAGGGGTGCCTAGCGGCTGTCTCCACACCTTCTGATAGCTCCTGCAGTGGCATTTGGAAGCTGGGAGAAGTATGTGAGACACCCCCTCCGAAAAAAATCTGAAGTGCTGATCTGGTATAAGAGTCTTTGCAATCAGTGTCATGAGAAGGCATCTTCTCTTCCCCCACAGACCCTCAGCCAGTCTGACCCTGCATGCCAAGAATTGGGGGAAGGGTACTTTGGCTGCAGCAGCACAGGTATTGTGTTAAGCTGAGTCTGTCCTTGGAAAAATGCGACCTAGAGAATTCAGTATCAGGAATCAAAACAGTCAAGCGTCAGTGTTTGAACTTCAGCTAATGCTAATGCAGTCATTCGATTCTTAACTGGTATTCACAGCCAAAAATTCAGGGTTAAAAGGTTACTGCTCACAGTTTGTTTCTGGGCTCAGTTCAAAGTACTGCTTTTAACCTTCAAAACCCAAAATGCCCTTGGTAGCTGTCAGTGCAGTTCTGTATAGATTGGCTTGGGATTGCACTGTAAAGGATGGATTTCTTCTTTGTGCGAGCCTTGTATGTATTCTTGTCTTTGGAGACAAAATGGACATTAATTGGAGAGAGGGCATTTTTTGTGTTGGCACCCACATTTGAGAATCCTCTCCCTAAGCATGCTTATCTGGCATGATCTTTGTTAATATTTAGGTGCCAGGCAAAGTCCACCCTCTTCTCTTGTGTTTTGAATTTGCATCTTGGATTCAGTTGTCTGGTTGTTGTTGTTTTTTATTATTATGTTCTTAATTCTGTTGTTGGACTCAGGTTGCATGGTTTTGTTGTTTTATTTTTATCTTTTTTGTAAGCCGCCCTGATGGCTTTATGCCAAAAGGCAAGGTTAATTGCCTTCAATAAATAAATGCTCCTGGTTTCTGATGACCCAGATGTAATTTTTATATGTAATCTTCTGGAATCTCAGTACCTTGTGCAACCCCCCCCCCCCATTCCAATACATTTTGGTGATATCATCCAAAAATGATGTTCTTAACTGCTTCATCAACATTAATATTGTGGTGTTTAGTAGGAGTTTTCATAATTTTTGTCTCACTTAACAGCAAACCCCCTTAGTGAACTCTGGTGAATTTAAGAGGGCTTGCTTTCTTTTAGACATAATTAGGAGTGCAGCCTAAATCACCAATAACTTGTATATGCAAAGTTGCATAGAGAACTTCACTAAGTGTGTTTGATAGAAAATTGCGACTCAATCACACCAACACACAAAAAAACCAGTTTAACCTTTACTGTGGGAAAATACCTAGAGTATTAACTGGCACAGATTGGAAGAAACAATTGTATTAACTTCTCTCTATCTCATAGGTCAGCTAGAACACCAACATATGAAAGTTCTTGTCCATCAAAATTAAATTGCATCTTTTATTAATTTCTTTGCTTTTTGCTGTCTACAAGATGTAATAAGGGTGTATGTAGATCAGGATACAGGGAGTGGTGACATCTTTGAACTTACCACTTACTTAAACCCATAGACAAAGCCATGGTGTTGAAACACCATCCGGACAAGCGAAAAGCAGCAGGAGAGCAGATAGGTGAAGGAGACAATGACTACTTTACCTGTATAACAAAAGGTAAGAACTGAAGTGAACAAGGTTCTGAATATACTTGATACTGTTCTATAATATGTTTCTGTAGGAATATGTGTAAAATTAATCCAGTAGATTTGCGTTGCTTGCTTTTGTAACATGTAATAAGTAATTCAAAGGTTAGAAAAATGGAGCTTCTAATTTTTGTTTGCTTCCAGCAAATGGAAAGCTAATTTCAATGGACATCTAATACGTTCCTGAGACAGCGATCTAGTTGCCCTTTCATATCGTATTCCTTATCCCTTTAAATATAAAACACAAGGACTTCTGTGTGCTCACTTGATTCAGGAGTCATAATGTGTCAAGTAACAGACAAACTGAATAGTGGAGAGCTATTATTCTGGAGCCTTAATTGATATGGAGACCTGCTTGCTGATTTGCTGCTGCTGCACTAGCTCAGTTTAGTGCCACTTGTCTGCTTTCCCTTTGATGTCACTGTTGAGCCTGAAGTGTTACATTGATTTCCAGAAATCTGCAGAATTGCAAGAACTGGGAAGCCTTGAGAGCATCAAGAGGAATAGCTCATCCTCTGGCTGACGTAATGGTTATTTTAGAATAGGTCTGAATTGCCTGACTAGAAGCCCCAATGGTAGATGTTAAGCATGCTATAGCAATACTCCATGCTTAGCTTCTGCTATTAACCCAGCAGTCCAGCACTTATTGTCAAGTGCATTCATTGGGATTCCTTGGAGGCCTGCAATGTTTGATTGTATGTACATATAGTTACTATACTGTGACCGAGACAGGTCCTCTTCCAAATTCCTCAAATAACTAGATTTACAAAAGCAATCTTTTTGAAAGGGCTGTCTTCCTATTCTTGATCAGATCTTGTTAGCATTAAAACAAATTAGGCCTCCAAATTTCTCAAAGAATGGTCAAAGTATTCCTTGCCTTTCAGTTAAAACAAAATTTGATTGCCGTTTTAATTCCAAAAATTAATTGTTTACTATAAATCTGTGCAGCGCTTTAGTTGTTATGTATTTGCACAGGCTGCTTCTGTCACTATAACTAAAAAGCCAGTAGCAACATGAAGATTTGCAAAAGTAAATCATTAAATAATTATACGATCATTACAGAATATTGTTTCCTCTCATCAAGTAATTTGTGGCCATGTCATCTCATTTTTCAGCCTACGAAATTTTGTCAGATCCTGTGAAAAGGCGAGCTTTTAACAGTGTAGATCCTACTTTTGATAACACAGTTCCTTCTAAAAGTGAAGCAAAAGAAAATTTCTTCGAAGTTTTTTCACCAGTTTTTGAAAGAAATGCCAGGTGAGTTATATTACAGGCTCTTTGGGGGCTTTTTCTCTCATGGTAGCTGATTGACAATGAGCCACTTATCCCAGCCAGTATGGGCCGCTTGACTGTCTGTTTAACAGCTGTGAAGAACAGCAGAGTGAGATCTTGCTGCTTGAGAGCTGCGTCCACAACCTGATGAGGCTGATATATTTGAGCTGTATACCTTGATAGCTAAAGAAATGTACATGGTTATTGCAATGTCCTAGCAGAGCATGCTGGCAGAACCATTAGAAGCTTAGTTCAGTAGATAAACAGAGAGGTCTCTCTTGGTTCAAAAATCATTATATTTTCTTAATGCAGAATGAACTCTGCTCTGTCTTCACAAGATCTAGCCTTCAGGGTAGTGTGTATTCTCTAATTAGGCAGGCTGGGGACAAGCTATAGGCCAAAAATGTCTGGTCTTAGCCCAGAAATATGCCATTTTAGAGTCTTCTACACCAGTGCCCTGTTCCATCTGCCATTTTTGACTGTTTATTATTTTTCTAAAGTTTTGTGGTATGGGATTTATTCCTTGCACCCTCCCTTCATCCTTGATCAGCTCACACCAGTAGTATGGACGCAAGTCATGATGGAATAGTTGCATTGCTGTTCTTCCTTATTCTAAGTGTTTATTTATTGGGCATCAAATGACAAGATAAGTGTGGTGCTGGAAATCCCACTGCAATCAGTGAAGCTGTTGGGCTCTGTGTGAAAATCCATACTCCAGGTTGAAATATTTCTTGTTTCATACCTTGAATGCATAGTCCAAGTACCTATTTCTTTCTGAGAAATGCTTATCTTAAATAACCTGTACCATCTTTACTAATATTGTCTGTTTATCCCCTAATTGCCACAGGTGGTCAAACATAAAAAACGTGCCAAAGCTTGGAGATGTAAACTCATCATTTGAGGAGGTAGATGCATTTTATTCATTTTGGTAAGTGTGTCAACTCTCTTTTTCCACAAAATAATGTATGGGGAAATCATATGGGAAATCTCTGAAAATTACACAGTTCTAGTACATTTGAAGTGTGATCTGAGGTCAGTTTTATCGATATTTTTATAGTTTTTATGTTCCTGACTTGTTTTTAGTAGCTTGTTTCGCTTTTATATTGATCATTCATAATGATTTTATGGTGTTGTTTTTACTTGTAAGCTGCCTTGAGTGGGACTCTCAAAAGGCAGCAAAAGTCTCCGTAATAATAATAAATGTTGCTTTCTCTAAGATTTTTGGCCTCATTGGGAGAAGGGCAGGGGGAAGGGCTACATCTCCATTCTGTTGTTGTTGTTCAGTCGCACAGTCGAGTCCGACTCTTTGCGACCCCATGTACCAGATCACGCCAGGCCTTTCTGTCTTCCGCCGTCCATTCTAGATATCTATAAAACTCTTGTTTCCCTTGAAATCCCTAAAACAGGCTGTTATAAATAAGTGGGTTTCAGAATGTTGAAGGCCACTGTAGGGGGATGGTAGTATAATATCTTCAGGTGGATGACTTGCAACTTTTCCTAGCAAATGTCTATGATCAAACTCTTAAAGTGCAACCCTGTGTAGGATTACTGCAGTCTAAGCCCATTAATTTCAGTGGACTTAGACTAAAGTGATTCTATATAGAATTGCATATTAGTTGCTTCTGCCCCATGGCTTCATCTCTTACCATCCTAAGATTTACATGTAAATTCAAAAATCAGGGAGACTAGTCTGTTGGCATCTTCCACCAGCAGGTGGAGACTCATTTCCACTGGTGTCCCCTCAGTGATCCCTCCTTCCAGCCCAATGCTTGAATTGTTGCTTTTATGTTTTTGTATGTCTTTTAGCTCTGGCTTCCATTGTTTTAATAATGTGTTTCTGTTGGTTTTAATGGTTTTAAAGAAGTGATTATGTATTTTTTAATTTGTTAGCTGCCTTGGTGGCCCTTATGAGAGCAGAAAGATGGGGTATCAATTTGTAACACGAATAAATTAAAATAAACATCTGAGGGTATTTAGGATATGCGTGGAGAGTAACATTGGAAGACGTTGTGCTCTCTGTGTGCTTCCACTTCATTTTTTGACTGCTAAGTCTGGTATGGTTCTTTCCATGTGTTTTGTGCACTCATCTTACCAGAGCAGTGAGTCTGGCTCCACACTGCTATTCCCAAAAGCAGATATGTCATTAACAGAACAACCCTGTGCTGTGCCTACGCCACAGCAGCAGGTTGCTGCATAACTATGGCAGCGCTAGTCCATTCTCTGTGGGTATGAGTTACGCAGCAGCCAGCAGACAAAGTTGGTGGGTTTGCAGTATTTTCTGATCGTAACTGGGATAGTGTCTATATAGCAACCATGCCACTGCCGTCATTGGAGGTGTTGTGTGGAAGCGATGGCAGTATGGTGGACAGGGCCACCAGAACCAGTCAGGGGCCATGTGGCAATGGGGTGGAGTCCAGCATCCCTCTCATGCAGGGACAGAGAGGGGCAGGCCACAAAAGTTCCACTCATTGTCAGGAGCACACCCCTTCACCCCCTTAAAGGGACCAACTCGTATTAGCAGATCCAGGCACCTGATAGTGGGGAAGGGGTTCGAGCTGCCCGCCCCACAGGCATCCGCAGCTACCTCAGTGTCCACACAGAGCACGGGGTCTCTGAAGGGCAGGAGAAGGGGAGCTGTCATTTCCACTCTGTGCAGTTGCTCACCAGAGGGTGTGCTTCCCAGCCACGTTGCCAAGTGCACTCCCACACCACCCCTGCCAGTGGTGGAGTAGGAGAGGGGGACACTGGGGTGGGCTCACATGTGGGGTCATGCAGCACCACCCTCAGATCCCCCAGTTCCCTTCTCAATGGGGCAGAGGTGGTTTGGGACTGGAATGGCCGTCATTTCACTCTGGGCTCTGTCATTCTAGTCCTAGAGCAATCAGTGCCTAGAGACTGTCATTCCAAATCCATTCTGCATTCACCATTACTTCCTCATGTAGTAATGTAGTAGCAATGTATTGCAGTGGAAACCATGGAAGTCATTTGGCATTCCTAATGTCCAATGGGCATACCCCCAAAAGCCCCACCCCCTCCAAAAACATCAAGTCCACCCACGGTGCTCCCCCCCCCAGCCATTTACTCCGGGGACTCCTGTGATCCCCTGCCCCCTCAGTGTTTCCTTCACAGATGTCTCCCCCTGGGTGACAGAAGCCCCCCCTTCCTAGAGCAGAGACACAGTTATGAATTCCATTCACTCTGTTAATTTCCCACTTTTCTCCCCCAAGTGGCTTACATCATTCCCCTCTCCTGTTTTATGCTCACAACAACCCCATGAGGGTTGGTTAGGCTGAGAGTGTGCATCTGGCCCAAGGCCACACACCTGTGTTCCATAGTACAAGTGGGGAACAGAATCTGGGTCTCCTAGATCTAATCTCACGCTCTAACCACCGCGCCAAGCTGGCTCATTCACCGAGACCACCTTCTGGCCTCTCCACCCCTTCACACAGCTCCAAGGTGAGGGAGGGAACCTGACGTTAAGTCAGCTTTGGAGGTGCCACTGGGCCCCTGCTATGTTTGGCAGATGACTATGACCAGTGGGACCTGCACAACCATTCACAGCCACCCAAGGCACCTGAGGGCCCTCCCTCCTGGACATGTTCTTGGGAAACCTTCAGAGGGAGTGACAGGTGGGCTGGGGAGGGAGTGGGGCAGGGAGGCGTGTGGAGCTTCTGTCATGTAGTCAAAACCAAACAGACAGAGACACTGTTGTGGCACAACACAGACATTTTTGAACTGCAAACCATGGCAAGGTGTGAAGACTCCATTCGCTTCCTCCCTGGGGCCACGGGGAAGAGGACTGAGGATCCCTGACATGGCATACATCTAAGTGAGATGGCATCACAGGTGGAACTTGGAAGGGCTGGCTGGATGCTACACTCCAGTTCACAAGGAGGGCTGGAACAGCACACTGAGCGGGGGGGGGGGGGGAAGGGATCCTCGCCTAGGGTGCAAAATAAGCTGGAGCCGGCCCTGATGGGAATCCATCATCTGCAGGAAAGTAAAGCAGAGATACGTAAAGTCGTGGAAAGTGAGAATGAGTGCCATGCCAGACTCAGCCAGAACCCCAACCTTTTGAATGGGATTTAACTGCAGGGACTTGTAAGAACATAAGAGAAGCCAATGTTGGATTAGGCCAACACAGTCCAACACTGTTACACAGTGGCCAAAAATACCAAGTGCCATCAGGAGGTCCACCAGTGGGGCCAGGACACTAGAAACCCTCCCACTATTGCCCCTCCCCCAAGCACCACGAATACAATGCATCATTTGCCCCAGACTGAGAGTTCCTGTCTATACTTTATGGCTAATAGCCATTGATGGACCTCTGCTCCATATGTTTATCCAATTCCCTCTTGAAGCCATCCATGCTTGTAGCTGCCACCACCTCCTGTGGCTTATGCTGGCGTATCTCGGATAGATGCTGATGCAAAGGTCAGTTGGCTCCCTGAGTGCTTACACACACACCGCTTAGGATTGCAATGTAAATAACCGCCAGAATGAAAGTAGTATTTGCTAGTATCACGTGGGTTTCCTTAAACTTGGTAAAATGCATCTAGGAAAACACAGCAGACAACCATAACTATCATTCTTTATTGAATCCTCATAATAAGAATTTGGACAATTAAAAAGAAGCATACTTAAAAGAGTCAGCATTTTTGATACACCTGTACTGATTTTCTCTTTTCTGACATTACTATGTATTGTTTCAGGTACAATTTTGATTCTTGGAGAGAATTCTCTTACTTAGATGAGGAAGAAAAAGAAAAAGCAGAATGGTATGCAAATAAAATGGTTGTTTTAAATATATGATTAATATTTTTTTTAAAAAAATCAGTGTATCATACCAAATTCCAGTGATTTACAAATTTTAAGGATTGTGAGGGTGTCTGTCTGTCTGTCTAGTACTGCTCATAAGGATATCACCTAAGCAGAAATTAGAACCAAAAAACTATTTAAAGTCCTTACTCAGTATTATTTCTCTTATATTTGATTATTGCACCTATGAATTTTGCCTCTGAGAGGGTGACACGAATATTTGTATCCAATAGTAGCCATGACATCTGGGCTCACACAGTTCCATATCTTTAAGTAAAGGGGTGACTAAAGTAAAGCCGTTAATTCTTTGAATATAGGACACTCCATAATCATATGTTCGATGATTTCAGTTGTATCATATGAGCATCGGCATGTCCTGTTAGATTATGATACTCTATAATATCTGCCCTCCAAAACTGCCAGGGAAGAACAGTCTGGCCAAAGTAAAAGCTCTTCTTAGTTTTGGGACTGTCAATTGATAAAATTATTTTGGCAGTTGCATTGGGAGTACATATTGTGAGGGTAAATCAAGTGTGTTTATTCACCGAGTCACCAGTGTGACTAAGAATGCATAATTGAAACATTAACTTCAATAGAGTAGCCCTTTTAAAGCTTAGAGGGCAATTCTGAGCAGGTTAATTCAACTCTTCTGGGAGTAAGCCCCATTGAAAAGGACTGAACTGTCAGGGACCCTTCCATATTCTATAAATGTGTTTAGAGAGTTATATGCTTATTGCTTTTTAGTTCTTTAAAAGCATATTGATGTGTGGAATGGTGATTCTGCTCCATCAGTAATTCTGGGTATTGAAGTAAAGATTGTTGGTTATTCTGGATTAACCAAGAGAAAAGAGGATCTTGTATTTATCCCATTTATCCTTTTCCAAAATAATCATGGCAGATCATGCTGTTCTTGAGTAGTTCAAAACACAAGTTTATTATTCTGGTATCTTGTAGCAGTGAAAGAGAGGAACACAGACTGCTTTCCTCTTGCTGGGAGAAAGGAACAAATTTTTAGGGAAAATATACCTAAACTAAGAGGGGGACAGGGTGTAGCAGGGAGGACAGCAAGGATTGACTTTTTTTAAAAAAAGTATTTATTTTTGAACTTTATATACAACAGTACAACATTTATAACACATATTTACATCTTGCAATAATTGTCTTTTCTTAACCTTTAATTACCCTTTAGAAATATAACAGAACTTTATAATAATTATTGTTTGGAATAACTTCTTCTGCGAGACTTGATTGGATAAAACGAAAGCAGATGATTGGCAATGAAGAAGTGAATTTACTCTTGATAGTGGGTAATAGCAAGATGCATTTCAGGGGCAGTGAGTAGTGGTTTGCATTTAAGGCTGTAATTGGGTTTAGATAGGGAAGCATCTGTATTAGGGATGTGCAGGAAATTGGGTATATTAGGCTTGAAAAATATAGGTATTTGGTTAACGGACTTTGCCTCTGTGCCAGGCCTTTATGTCAATCAATCTAAAATGATTTTATACCCAATCAGTTTATCACCGTCATCTGAACACTTTATTCGCTCTCATTATCAATATCAATGGGTGAAGTATTCATGGTCTGATTTGGGAATTAAGATCCCCAAAGACTTGACGCATCTTTTTAAAATTAATTATACAGACACCATTGAGAAATCTAAATTACAATTGGAACATTGGCACAATCAAAATTTGACATGGTTGGAGAGAATCCATTCTATTAAAACCTTTGTTTTTCCTAAGCTTTTATACCTTTTCCGTACACTTCCTCTACCTATATCGTCTGTTCAATTTAACCATTGGCAATCCAGTTGAAATAATTTTTTTTGGAGCTATCATAAATCTAGAATCAAATTTACTACCTTACGTAGGCTAATCAGGATAGGAGATATGGCCCTTCCTGATATCAAATTGTATTATGACGCCACACTACTTTCAAATCTTATTAGGATTTTAAAATCTAAGCCGCAACCAGAGTGGGTTAAGATAGAAGAAAGTTTCCTTGATGAGACGCAATACCGAATAGTTATATGGAATAAGACAACTGAAAAATCAATATTCTATTATTAAACATCCATTTCTCCAATCACTTTTTAGAACATGAAGACTTAAACGTTCCTTTTTGGCACCTGATATATCCATAGTTTCTACATTTTTGGGTCAGTCTTGGTTTCAGCCTGCACGAGACCCTAATTCATTTCAAATATGGAAAGACGCTCACTTAGATACATTATATCGTTTAATTCATAATAGGAAATTATTGGAGAAATCTAAACTGGATACTCTAGTAAAGGCCACCTTACCTTGGTTCGAATATTTACAGTTATGACATTTTTTCAACACCGTGGATTAAAGAAGCCTGTATAAGATCTCTTACAGAATTTGAAAAATTGATAATATCTTCACATGGTATGAACAGTGGGATGATATCGAAAATATATAAAATTTTAATCGATCCAAAACCTTATACGTTGCCTTCATATACAATATCTTGGTCTATAGATTTCAATTTGTCTGAAACCTTTTGGGACTCAGTATGGTCATCCTATGCTGCAACAACAAAATCCGTCAATGTTCAGCAACAAAATTTTAAAATTCTAAGTCGTTGGTATTTAACTCCTCTGAAATTACATAAAATTAATAAATCGATTTCACCCCTCTGCTGGAAAAATTGTGGTGGTCTTGGATCCTATTTTCATTGCTGGTGAGAATGCCCACTAGTACAAACGTTTTGGAAAAATTTTAAATCAGAAATTAAGATGTTAACAGGATATGAAATTCCATTACTTCCAGAAATTATACTTTTAAATTACTGGAAGGAAATCCCAATACCACAATATAATAAAGAACTATTTACCCTTTTGTTTTCGGCCGCAAAAATGACTATAGCCACCAACTGGAAACGAACAGAACCACTTTGTGTGCGGGCTTGGTATTCTAGTCTATGGAATCACCTATTAATGGACAAAATTTCAGATAGACTTGATAGTAAAGATTTTGCTTGCAAATCCGACTCATTTTATGGACGGTGGCATTCCATTTTGGAAAAACTGGAACAAGTCCTGGAAAACGTTAGTCATTCACAGCACACACAGTATTATACTTTTATACGTCATAGTTGGGTATTGTAATATTGTAATTTTCATGTTCCTTATATAAGGGATTTTTCTTGAATTATCAGTATGCTTCCTTATGTAGTTAGGTTTTGGTATATTTTATAAGATTATTACATGTAATAGTGGATTCTATTATTATTGTTGTTTGAAATATTGTTATTGAAAAAATAATAAAATATTTTTTGGACAAAATATAGGTATTTGGTATGTTGGTATTCGGGAAATATTCGGGAAACCTGAATATATTTGGGTCCATCATACTCCAGGGACAATGGCTGCAAGCCATTTCAGCAATCCTTTTTGCTCCCCCTACTTTGGGGGAATGAAACCAGCCGATGAAATGGCTGCCAGCCATTTAAACGTAACACCTGACAAGCCAGACTCCCAGGCTGTCAGGTTTAAATGGCTAGCAGCCATTTCAGGGCCAGTTTCGCTCCCCCCTCCAAGGGGAGGAGTGAAAAGGATCGCTGAAATGGCTTGCAGCCATTTTAGCCCGATAGTCTGAAATGCCTGCAAGCCACTAAACTGGTCAGTTTCACTTCCCTCCACTTCCAAGCGAAACTGACCATTTTAATGGCTGGAAGGCATTTCTGCCTAACAGCGGAACTGCACGCGAGCCCCACTGTTAGGCTGGAAAGCCTTTCAGCCATTTAACCCCTCTCTTTTGCTGCCCCCTGTTTGGAAGGGGGGGAGCAAACTGGCCGTGAAATGACTGTCGGCCATTTAAACCTGGGGTCACAGTTTCTGTTGCGGAAAATACAGACAAACACTATGATATGCTAGCTAACAAATTTAGTAAAACATTTTACAATCAATATATAACCAATATAAACACTGATAACTTTAAGGACAATAGGAATACTCCTGAGAAAGACTTTGACAAAATGTGTTTACATCCGGGTGCTTATAGTAACATTATGAGAATGTAATTTCATGAGGATGGATATATTTGTAATATTATGGGCGGAATTTCACATTGCGTTTTTTAACCCATTTTGAAGCCGTTTTTGATCTGTCGTGGAGTAAACCGGTATAGGGCTGCCATTTCACACATGGCTTTCCCCTTCCGGTAAAGAGCTGGATCTGAAGCGGTTTGCCAATTCACACTGCACTGCTTTTTCCCTGCCGTTTTTCACCCGTGCGGGCGATCTCCGTTTTTTTTTTTTTTTTAATGTTCGCTTTAAAGTGAACGTTAAAAAACAAACAAACCTGAAGATCGCCCACATGGGTGAAAAACGGCAGGGGAAAGCGCATCGGAACTGGGAGAGGAAACTGAAGACTACTTGGAAGCGGTTGACAGGTAAAACGCTTCAGCCCCATTTCCTAAACGGGCCAGAAGCGTTTGTGTGTGGAATTACAAATATATTCCGGTTGGGAACCGTTCCTCTTCCAGATTATATCGTCTGTCTGAAATTCCTCAGTATGTCTATAGTGTGACATAAGATTTATATATTGATTGTAAAATGTTTTACTAAATGTGTTAGCCAGCATATCAGAGTGTTTGTTTGTATTTTCGGCAATTGAAACCTGTCAGCCTGATGTGCCCACCAATCAGCTGTTAGGTTTAAATGCCTGGGATCCATCTCCACAGCCTCTATTCGGTTTTGCTAAGTGAACCCGGCAGATCAAACAAAATTAAACTTGATTATCTTCTGTCCGATGTGAACCATGAAACAACCCGAATAGTGGCTAAGTTTGAGCACAGGTATACAAAGATTAGAAAATGCATACAGTAGCTTGAGTGAAATTTTTATAAAGTTGCAAAATTTGATCGTTTTATTTTATGTAAACCTTTGTGTATGCTGGTCATTGACTGTAAAATAAAATTGTTGTTGTTGTTGAACCCGAATAAAAGCCAAATAATTTCACCTTTTATTCAGGGTTATCTATTTGGTAGCTAAATAATTTCTCAAATTTCCATTCAGCTTAGAAAATACCAAAAAAATACCAATAGTGTATTCATTAGGGTTTTTCCCCCTAGTTCGGGTAAACTGAATGCACACCCCTAATCTGTATAACTGTTGAGCTACTAGTCTTATTAAAACTGAAACAAATTCATCCTCCTGGGATAGCTGAAATTACATCGAGCCCTGTTTGATGCATTTAGGGATTGTACCCAGTGTCTATATATGTCGTGTTACCTCCTTTGACTGTAAAAAGGCTCCCAGAATTGATCTGGTAATGGGATGTGTGTTGCTACCGACCACTTTTCTGTCTCCCTTTGCAGTCGAGATGAGAGGAGGTGGATTGAAAAGCAGAACAGAGCAACTCGAGCGCAAAGAAAAAAGGAAGAGATGAACAGAATAAGGACACTCGTTGGTAAGTATGAGCTCTGCATTTTCAAGGGAACTAGCTCATTAAATTCCAGACATTGTGTCACCTTCATATATGCATCTCCTTTCTTTTTTTAGACACTGCATATAGCTGTGATCCTAGAATAAAGAAGTTCAAGGAAGAAGAAAAAGCAAAGAAGGAAGCAGAAAAGAAAGCAAAGGTAGATGCAAAACGAAAAGAACAGGAGGAAAAAGAGAAGGTAAGTTTAAAACTTTAGATACTGATAGAGTCATCGACTCCATCATATAAAATCCTTTGGTCTTCAGCTGGTTGGATAAAAATGGCATATTGAGTAATTACCCTGTTTCTGTGAAAATGTTCAGCGGCGGCTGTTAACTGTTCACATTTTTTCAGTTGTGGTTACTCTTCTTACTTAGCTCAAGTAATGTTTTGTGACTTACTGGGAGACTTTGTATCCCCATTCTATCAGCTTCTTTCTCTGCAATGTTTAGAGTAATGAGGGTCAGTGATTAAGCAAAACGTTTCAAAACAGATCCAGGTGGTCAGCCATGTTGGTTTGAAGCAGTAGAACAAATTTAGAGTCCAGTGGCACCTTTAAGACCAACAAAGGTTTATTCAAGGTATGAGCTTTCATGTGCAAGGCACACTTTTTCAAATACATTAGAATGGCTGTCAAGGTTCAAACTTCTAGCCAGAGAATGAACAGCAAACTAACATGCAACACGATGATGATGAAGATATGCAAATTGACACTAAATAACAAGTTAAGGTTATAAGGTCAACAGTTGTAAAGCAATAAATATGTTAAACTAGCAGATAATGTCTAAAGGTGTCTTTTCTAATTGTGGGAAGTGTCTGGGAATCTTCATTCTCTCCTGTCAGGCATGGAGTGCACTTAACCCTACATCCCCCTCCCAAAAATGCTGTTATGTCAGCAGACATCCTAATATCCTTTGCATACATTCAGTATTCTAATATACTATTCTGAAAAAGAAATACATTAAAATACAGAGGATTTGACTGCCATTCTAATTTTCAAAGCAATCCCTGCCAATTAGATGTGCTTGCCGAGGTGCTTTTTCTCTGTCCTATCCATCAGTCCTTTGGGACTGTTACGGTGAAGCCAAAAAAACCATTGTGGGTTCAAATGGATGTTGGTATATTTTGGGAACAAACCCTAGAAATTTAAGAAAAGCAAGCTGCTCAAATTATGGAAGTTCATTTTAAACATGTTTCATTGGGCTAACAATGTGAGGTATGCCCATAGGCTGAAATCTTCTCAAGTGGAATGATGCTTCTCAAGTGGAATGATGCTTCTCAAATGGGATGCAGATGCTTATTAGAATGCTATGAACATTCTACTAAAACAGTTTAACCCATCAGCCCTGGGCACTCCTCTAGCACCAGTCTTGTTAACTAGTTTAGTTACTTGAGCCTTGAAAGCATAGACATATGTATCTCGGTAAACTTACGACTAAGGGAGTGTAGAAATTTGATATCTGGTATTGTATTATTGGTGTTTCCATTCCAGTAGCCTCAAGCAGTGCTCTCCAACATGGCGACTTCTGATAAGTTTCCTGGTGCCCATTCTTCTGCCCCAAAGCAAAAAGCTAGTCCTGGCTTTCCATCTCCTCATTGGAGCAGAAAATGCTTCGGAAGAGGAATCAACTGTGTCTGCAGGGGGATTCCATTTGGGAAGAGCTGCTTCCACCATAGGAGGATGCTTAGCTTAGAACTGCCCAACACTTGTGACTGGCTCCAGCCTCCATGACAGCAAATTTTTTGTGGGGCCTGCTAGTGTTCTTAACATGGTAAAAGTGCCCACTGGCTCCTAACATACAGCGTCACAAAGTGACTTTGGGCTAAACAGTTAATGTATGAGGTAATACAAAAGTTAAATCAAAGATGTATAAGAAACCCCGGATTGTTTGTATTTATGTTTGTTTGTGCCTTTGGGTGATTCTAGAATTTTCTTTTGTTTCAGCAAAGGCAAGCAGAATTGGAAGCAGTCCGGTTAGCCAAGGAGAAAAAAGAGGAAGAAACTAGACAACAAGCACTGCTGATTAAGAAGGAGAAAGACATACAGAAAAAAGCAATTAAAAAGGAAAGGCAAAAGCTGCGAACCATCTGCAAGGTATCTGGCTTTCATGTGTGTGTCAAGTGCTGTCAAGATGCTTCTGACTTATGGTGACAATATGAATTAATGTCCTTCAAAACATCCTATCGTTAACAACCATTTCCAGGTCTTATAAAATGAGGACCATGGCTTCCTGGATTGAGTTAATACATCTCATGTTGGGTCTTCCTCTTTTCCTACTGCCTTCAAGTTTTGCCAGCATTATTGTCTTTTCCAGTGAGTCTTGTCCTCTCATGATGTGACCAAAGTACAATAGCCTCAGTTTAGTCATTTTAGCTTCTAGGAAGAGTTCAGGCTTGATTTGATCTAGAACCCACTTATTTGTCTTTTTGGCAGTCCACGGCATCCGTAAAACTCTCCTCCAACACCACATTTCAAGAATCTACTTTCTTCCCATCAGCCTTCTTCATTCTTCATTGTATGCCCATATAGTAATGGAGAATACTATGGCATGAATTAAATTGATATTGGTGGTGGCCAGTGGCACACACTCATGGATCCTTTGTAGCTCTTTAATGGCCGCCCTCCCCAGTCTCAGTCTCCTTCAGATTTCTTGGTTGCAGTCTCCCTTTCGGTCGATGATGGAACCACGGAATAGAAAATCTTGAACAATTCCAATTTCTTCATTGTGAACCTTAAAGCTGTGTAATTCCCAGTAGTCATTTCTTTTGTCTTCTTGACGTTCAGCTATAATGTTCAGCTATAATCCTGCTTTGGTGCTTTCTCTTTTAACCTTTATCCGTAGTCACTTCAAGTCTTTACTGTTTTATGCCAGTGTCATGGTATCATCTGCGTATCTCAAATTGTTGATGTTCCTTCCACCAGTTTTCACTCCACCATCTAATCTAATCCAGTTTTCCTTCTGATATGTTTAGATATGTTCTGCATACAGTTTGAAGAGATAGGGAGATAAAATGCATCTTTGTCTGACACCTTTGCCAGTTAAAAACCATTCTGTTTCTCCATATTCTGTCCTAACCGGCCTCTTATCTGGAGTATAGGTTGTACATCAAAACCATTTCCTTTAAGACCAACCATATCTTTTTATGATCTACACAGTCAGTAGCTGTTTGTACATTTGGCTTAAGACCTCTGGTCAATGGAGCTAATAAATGAAAGGACTACACAGTCAAAAGCTTTGCTGTAATCTATGAAAGAACCTGATTTCCTTCTGAAATTTGGCTTTTACCGCAGCTAGATGTTCCATTGTTTCCAGTGGCTGAATCCTTGAACATTGGTTTGGAATAGGAGTGCCCTTATACTGGAAGGGGAAACTTGGATTCCATACCTAAATGACATTTTACACTTTTCATTAAGGCAAAAATATCATCACTATGCAACTTATGCAGGTTATCTCAGTTGGATATGGTTTAAAGAAAAGATGCGAAGGCTGCAATCCTATTTACACTTAGCAGAGAGTATATTCTACTGAGCTTGGTGGGATAAACTTTTGAGTAGCCCTGCTTATGATTGCATTGTAAACTGAACTGCACTAATCAGATGAACAAAATCACTGGTCTTGTTTTCCACCAATCAGATTGCCTTGGACAAACAGTCCTTCGTAATGGCTCTCTAAGGTGTGTGCGTCTGCATGCATGTGTGTACAAATGAAGAGCACTTAACTAGGAATTTTAGCTATTTAGAGAACCACACAAAAATGCTCACTTCTCCTTTTCTTCTCATTGTTTTAACTGAGAGCCTGTTCACAGTGTACCAAGTCAAGATTGCTGACTGCTCAAAGACATATTGCTCCACCCATAATAAATTTCTATATTCTTTTTAAATGTTTGTATTTTAAAAGTAAATACACACTCAATTTTCATATCCACTTTTGCCATTATCTTCATTTATTTCGTTTATTATGATCCATGATGGGCCAACATAAGGACAGAAGCTAAACACAAAACATAAATAAAATAGTAAAAATTCTTAGGCCATTTATAAAAGGATAGAAGTCTCTGCTTCCTTATCAGCTGAGCCAAAACAAAAATCTGGCCACCTTAAGAGTGATTTCATTAAAGCAATCTGCAAGGAGAGTGGACAGCCCTGTAACCAGAAAATTTTCAGGAGGGGATGTTTGGGACGGGGTCAAACAACAGCTGATCACCCTTGGGTCAAGCAAGGAGGCCTTGGGTCAAGCAAGGAGGGTCAAGTGGCACCCTGGGGTCAAGTGAGCAGGGCCCCTGCCTTGGCCTGTATGGTGGGGGAGCTGGAGCATGCTGCCGTGCAAGGCTACCTCCCAGCCAGTCGGCTGGCTGAGGCTGCTCTTGCACTTGCCAGCGCCGAGCGCACACCCTTCCTCACCCACTCTTGTTTGCTTCCTCCGCTGGGCTGGCGGAGCCAGCAAGCCAGCTGCTCTTGCTACTTCCCTCCAGACCAGCAGCCCCAGGCTCCCTCCGCCTTCTGGGAGAGGGGAGGGGGAACCGGGAGATGAAGGGGCAGGGCAAATTCGGAAGGGAGCATTGCCCCAAGCTATTAGCCTGAGAGTGGATATATAAAATTTACCAGATCCTCCTGGAAATTTAGATAAAATAGGGGTAATCTATTGGGAACGAAAATCCTTTTAAAATGAACAGTGAAGTAACACGTGTTCAGCCATTTCCATGGCATTCACTTCGCAAAAATACAAATAGTGGGAATAAGGGATACCTAGATATAGCCTTGCAACAGAGCTAAAGTAGAACATCAAAACAGGCCAATGCTCTGCAATATTTTGAAAATTCTATGGCAAAGAGGTCATTTCCCCTGGAACAAAATTTTGACCATGATTCCCTGCTGCTGGACAAGAGTGGACTCAGGCTCTATCAAAGAGCTGTATCCCAGTTTTTTAAATTATTTCTCTAGCTCCCAGGAGCCCAAGGTAGCATAGAGCTGAAGGAGCAAGCTCATAAAATTGTAATTTCTTCTTAACGGCATCCACCCAGCCTGAATTAAGATTATCTAAGAGAATTAAAAGAGCTAATCCAAGAGGGTTCAAGTTTAACTTGTCAGAATCACACTACTTGGTACCAGTTGTGCGCTTCTAATGAAGCACACCACCCCCAACTCTGATCTGAGGAGGGCATTAGAAATATAGCATGGGACACCAAATAAAGATCTGAGAAAGATAGATAGAATTGCTTCCAGAATCAAAACCAGTTTCTAAGAACATAAGAAGAGCCCTGCTAGATCAGATGAGTGGTCCATCTATTCCAGCATCCTGTCTCACACAGTGGCCAACCAGTACCTCTGGAGTGCCAACAACAGGGCACAGACATCAAGACCTTCCCCTGTTGTTGCCTTCTGGCTCTGGGATTCAGAGGTTTAGTGCCTCTGGATATGGAGTTTCCCCTCAGTTACCATGGCATAAGAACATAAGAAAAGCCCTGCTGGATCAGTCCAATGGTCCATCTAGTTATGTATTCTTCTTTTTAAATGTTTGCATTTTTAACAGAAATACACATTCATTTTAATGTTCATATCTGCTTTTTCTGTTATACAAGAACAGATCTTTCTCTCAATAGAGACCTTCAGTTCCCAATGTTTCTGTCACAACGTCTCTTTGATCAAAACCAGATTCTCTGGGACCAATTCTCTCTTGCATTCTTTTTGTAGATTTTATTTTGCTGCTCTTCCTTTTTGACATTTCTGTGGTAAGCCATCTTAAGGTAGGCAGCACAGAAAACAATTCTTAAGGAGGAATGGTTTTAAAAAGGTGTGAACTTGTCCCACAACTTATGGTGAGTTTGTTCAGTTTCACCTCCAAACATGTCTTGCGGGGTTGTGAAACAGGTGACCGACAATGATCCATCATGATCGTCAACATGTGAAACAGTATTCATCACTGTGGATGCTTCTGGTAGTGAGAACAAAACAATGTGTGAATTGTCCTTTCTAAAATTCTTCAGGTTCTGAACGTGCAAAAGTAAAAAATGAATTTTAACAAAGATCTAAAAAATTGGCATGTGAATTCTAAAAGTAAATTATGCACACCAAGCACAGTAATATTAGGAATATTAGGAAACGAGATCTTGAGTTTTGAAAAGAGAAGTTGGTGCAGCTTCTGAGGAGTGCATTATCCGTGTAGAATATGGCCACAGTCATAAAAGCACTGAAGTAACTGCTTGGAAATTGTGCGCATACCACATTTTCTTGTCTGAAGCTTGTGGTGTTGTGTTTTCAGAACTGGAATTACTTTTCTGACAACGAGGCTGAGTGTGTTAAGATGATGGAGGAAGTGGAAAAGCTTTGTGATCGTCTGGAGTTGGCAAGGTATGCTTTTCTGACCTACACACCTATGTTTTTTGACCTTCAGCTTTCCACTAGATCTGAAATATCGTTCAATAATTTATTTTTAGTCTGCAGTGCTTGAATGAAGCACTTACCTCCACAACAAGGGACGAAGGAAAGGCTGCTGTAGAAAAACAGGTAATTATAAATTATAAATCTTTTGTCCTGTACAGTGAATCAGCATAATGAAACTACCAAGGCAAGCCTATAGAGCCACATGAATACTGAATATGTACTTTATAGTGTTTAAGAAAGAACTTACACTGCAGAATCTTCTAAAGAAGCTGCTTCCACAGCTGAGAATACCTGGTTCCATTGCTCTTGCCAAACCCGACCAAATCTAATTGTGTAACATGCAAGAGACAAAAGCTTTCTAGAGGTTAGCACGTAAACCTTTGTGCACAACATAGTTGCAGTCTTTTTTGTGTGTGAGTAGTGTGTGTGCGTGCGCGCCTGGAAGTCATGGTTGACTTCTGGTGACCCCTAGTGGGGCTTAGACACTTCAGAGGTGGCTTACTATTGCCTGCCTCTACATCCCAGCCTTGGTATTCCTTGGGTGTCTCTCTTCCGAATACTTGCCAGGGTCGGCCCTACTTTGCTTTCGGGATCTGACGAGATTGGGCTTTGCCCGGGCTATCCAGGTCAGGACAACACTACTGCAATCTTGATGAGGTATGCAAGAGGGGAAAATGTGATACTGAACCTCATGGTTCTGTGGTAGAGCATGTGCTTGGCACACAGAAGCTCCTAGGTCCAATCACTGCCATCTCTAGTTAAAGGATCAGGTAACAGGTGATGTGAGACCTCTGTCTAATACCCCAGAGTGCCAGTTGGAGTAGACAGTACTGATCTTGAGGGATCAGTGGCCAGATTCAGTGTAGGACAGCTTCATGTATCTAAAGTGTTGCTGGATCAGACCCACATCCTGTCCCACAGAGGCCAACCAGTTATTCTGGAGACTCAACAGCAGGGCATGGATGTCAAAGCCTTCCTTTGCTGATGCCTTCTGGCACTGGTATTCAAAGGCTTAATGCCTTTGAACATGAAGGTTTCCTTTCATCGTGGTTTTCTTTCATGAAGGTCTCCTTTCATCATGGCTAGTAGCCACTGATGGAGAACTAATTGAATAAAGTAGTATTTCCTGCTATCTGGAATCTTTTGCCCAACACCTTCATGGGGTGCCCCCTGAGTTCAGTATTCTGGGAGAGAGAGAGAGAAAGTTCTCTCTATCCACTCTCTCTGCCCCATGCATAACTTTATAAACCTCTATCATGTCTTTTTCCTAAACTAGAAAGTCCCAGCCTCTTTTTGTAGGAAAGGTGCTCCAGTCCCTTGATCATCTTAGTAGCCATCTTCTTCCCTTTTTCCAGCTCTGGTAATGCCTTTTTTATATATGGGAAGAAAAATTGCATCCAGTATTCCAAATGAGGCCCACCATAGAACTGTACAGGTACATGTATCTATGGTTTCTAGGGGGGAAAGTTCTCTCCGTGTGTGAATATGGTTTGAATGTTACCTATGAGAGCCAGTTTGGTGTAGTGGTTAAGTGCGCGGACTCTAATCTGGGAGAACCGGGTTTGATTCCCTACTCCTCCATTTGCACCTGCTGATGTGACCTTGGGTCAGTCACAAGCTCTGGCACAGCTGTCCTTGAAAAAGAGCAGTTTGTGTCAAGAATTCTCTCAGCCCCACCCACCTCACAGGGTGTCTGTTCTGGGGAGGGGAAGGGAAAGGAGTTTGTAAGCCGGTCAGAGTCCAAGTGAAGGGCGGGGTATAAATCCAATCTCTTCTCTTCTTCTTCTTCTATGTTGTAGGAAAGGAAATTTGTAGTCCCCCAACAAAATGATTATTGGCTGAAAGGAGGAAGACATTCTCAGCAGAGTAGCTAATGTCAGAACTTCAGTATGGTCTGACAGTTCTGAGTATGCGATACAGCAACAAACATGCAGCATACACACACATGGTGAAATCCTCTATAAACTGATGATAAAATTTCTTCTTTCAGTGGCCTTAAGAGCTACCCACTAGAATCAGAAATCAATCCAACTCTTTCTACTACGTGTAAAGTTTTTGACCAAAAAAAATTCTTGTTTAATCATTTTGAAAATTTTATGATCAGACATTCTAGGGTCAGAACAGTTATTTTATTACTCTGCAGATGCTATCTTTTTTTTTAATACAGTGTACTTGCTTACAAATTCTATTTGCATGGGATACCAATCAACTTCTTCTCCTACAGTGATTAGTGGAACAAAATGAGCCTGAGAATTTGAGGCAGTTGCTTAGCAGCTTGGGTGAAGGGTTTTGTTTGCAGAAATTCATTACCAGAACTGGGTTTTTTTATATTCACATAGATAGAAGAAGTAAATGAACAGATAAGAAAAGAGAGAGAAGAAGCAGATGCTCGTTTGCGACAGACAACAAAAAGTTCTGAGAAATCAACCGGTGGAGGTGGTGGCGGAAGTAAGAACTGGTCAGAAGATGACTTGCAGTTGCTTATTAAAGCTGTAAACCTCTTCCCTGCTGGGACTAATTCAAGGTATATATACGTTGGTAAATAGTATGTGTGTATGTGTATAAATTTATATTCTTGCCCTCCCATCCAAAAGTGTGCCATCAAGCCACAGCTGGTCTTTAGCTATTAGATAAGAACGTTCAAGAAATCAGTCCAAAAGTGGTATCTCAGACCTATAGAAAAGGTGTTCTATCCATGGGTCTTTGTAAGTCAGCTGTCAACTAGAATGACTTTATCTTGGCACTTTTCTCTTCAAAAAATATTCCGTGTCATTAACTCCTGGCATGGTGTTGGAGGGAATGAGTTGAAAATCAATGCATTTTCAAGGGAAGTCCCTTCCACCTTCTCTTTTCAAGGATATTGTATGGTTGGCAATTGCTAACTGTACACCTGAAGCAAAATCACTTAGTTTTATTGAATAAAATAATGTTCCGTCCTACAAGCATTTTCATTTGTGGATTAAAAAGATTCCCTTCAAAGGCCATGTTACTTTTTAACTGGTTGAAAGCATGGGCATACTAGTTTCAGGAATATGTGTAAACTTTTCTTTTTCTTGTGCACATGTAGGTGGGAAGTTATTGCCAATTATATGAATTTGCACTCTACTACTGGAATAAAGCGAACAGCAAAAGATGTCATCAACAAAGCAAAGAGCCTCCAGAAACTTGGTATCTTTATCTTTGTAAGATGGTCTGCATGCTTCTATTTTATGTACAACTGAATTGAGCTTTCATTCTACAAGCATAAGCATGTTTTGGTTGCCAATCCCTCTCTCCCCCAATTAAATTGTGAGAGGAAAATTCCTGCACTCCTCCGTTCTATGGCATGTGGCTTGCCTGCATTGCTGCATTGCTGTTAATTCCCCCCCCCCTAATTAGAGGCAGGCCATCAGGTGTGTAATGTGGGCGGGGACTTGCACATGTCCCTTGGTTTGCGCTCTGCTAGAATTTTGGGAAGTGTTGTGATGAACAGCTTGTGTCCTGGGCTTACACAGAAACTTCCCCACCACCCACTGCAATCTGCTGTGCTCCCTGAAATGCAGTTCCTAGGGTCTGTAGAGCCCCAGGATTGTTGGGGGTGGGGTCTGCAGGGGAAGGAGGGAAATATAACACAAGTAGAAATAGTTTAAAGTCTGACACAGTGTAACCTGTTGCAGCAATACAATTCAGAAATTCAGACTATATTGCAGAGATAACTGCCTGTGCCCACTAAAGGCAGGCAATTCAAGCATCATTGTTACTGACAAAAGATACCAGGCTAAGTGGCTCCCAAATGAAAGAGGCAAAGAAAATGTTTGCAGTCTTGTTTATGCTATTCATCTGGAGATGTTGCTTAGCCTGTGCATAATCCATGTGCTCAGCTCCCCTGTTGTATTTGAGGAAGACAAAGAGGCAGGGAGTGCTAAATTCAAAATTAAGAATCATTGATCATGGCCAGGTTAAACCTGAGTAAACATTCGCTAATGGAGGAAGTGGACGGCCTTTCAGTTGCTTTCCCTAGCTCCTGTTGTAGAACAAAATTGAAGACACAGTGTGGTATAGTGTTGAAGAAAGACCTGGCAGACCCTGGTTTGAAGCCCCTCTGCCATAGAAGCTTGCTGAATAGTGACCTGGTCCAGTCACCTACACTCAACCTCAGAGGGTTGTTATAAGAATAAAATGGAGAGGAAAATGATGTCTTTAGTTCCTATTGGGGATCCCATAAATTAAGTAAATAAATAGACACATATGTCCATGACTGATATGGTTTAAATTTCAACTTTTCATATGGGGAAACATGCAGGGGCCAGTATAAACTGATTCTCATAATTTAGCTTAAAAGTAAAAACTTTTTTAAAAAAAATCTGGATATAAACATTCTATAAAGCTCTCTTTACAATGAGCCCATTTAAAACAAGCTTAAGTTTCTAAATGCCAATCCAATTTCTCTGTCACATGTCTGTAGGCCATGGCTTATTTTGTACTGAGATCAGCTAATCAGTCTCTTTTTTCTCAGACCCTCATCAAAAGGATGATATCAACAAAAAGGCTTTTGATAAATTTAAAAAAGAGCATGGTGTTGTGCCAGAGACAGAGATTGCTACACCATCCGAACGGTTTGAAGGTAAATATGAAAGAACTCTTTTTCAGTATTCTGGGAAACAGTTTACTCCTAAACCACACTTTGTTAGGACTGTGCCTACCAAAGATTCTTTTGTATTCTATTGAGATTGGAGTAGCGAGAACCAGGACAGATCTTCTGCACTTTAGTGCCAGTTTGATTTTTGTATGTGAAAAACCACATCTAAATCAGTTGAAACTCTTGGGGTGTCAGATGAGCTGTGACCCATCTGTAGAGGTAATAAATAAATAAACTCCTATAGTCCAGCATTTGTAGAGATTTGGACAGAAGATGTGCTAGAAGATGTTCACACATCTCAGAAGATGCAAAGCTTACTGAACTGCAAAAAAGGCTATTCATTTCCTGTGTCCCAGGAGCTTGAACTAAAGGTAGACATTTGGTGAACTAGAAAGTTACCAGTAGGATTTCTGTAGATCTATCTTTCATACAGGACTTGTGTAACCATTTAATTTTCATATTGATTGCATTCTTCACCAGTACCATTTACAGACTCCTCTCCTTGGACCACAGAAGAGCAAAAACTTTTAGAACAAGCTTTGAAGACCTATCCAGTGAATACTCCTGAAAGGTGGGAGAAAATAGCAGCTTCTGTCCCAGGCCGATCTAAAAAAGACTGCATGAAGCGATATAAGGTAGGCAAATGCTATTCTTGGTTTTACTTTAAGAATATATACATACAGTTAGGCCATTATTTGATTACCAAAACATTATTAGACATGGAGGTAAGTCCTTAGAACACATAAGTGTTCTCTTCCACAACCTTTACTCTCTCTTCTGTGCTATAGGAACAGTAACTTTTCCTTGGGCAACAACATGACCAAAGTTTAACAGCTGTTTGCTGAGAACCATTATTAGCAACTCTACTTCTCTAGATTGCTCAAGATGGCACAGCAAACTTTCATATACTTTTTCTACAGCAGGATAGAAGCCATCCATCTGGGACTGACTGTAGTACACAGTAGTACCACATATAACTCCAGACAACCTTAATTAGGGAAGTTCCAGGGAAATCTGTGCCCTGAGTATAACTGAATTCATGTTAAGGCCTCCTTAGTGATTAAAGGTGAGTGGGTAGGAAGAAGCATCACTACACGAAAAACTGGCCAGTATGTGGGCAGAGTAGGATACTTTGCTTGTGGTCCTCACTTCAGCTGTGTGCTGCTTAGGTTAGAATCCAGCAAGGATGAATGTATAGATCAGTGAGGGCAAAAAGGTCCAAACTCCAGCCAGCCAGAAACAAACAGGACCTGCCCAGGAAATGCTATTAGTTAAGGGAAATTTAGTATGAACAATTTAGTACGAACAAGCTTCTTTCTTTTCTGTTTTAGGAACTTGTTGAAATGGTGAAAGCAAAGAAAGCTGCCCAAGAGCAAGTACAGAATGCTGCTAAAACGAAGAAATGAGATTCTCAATGACAATCTTAATGTGTTTTGTTTTATAATAAAAATGCAAATACAACACCTGGGTTTTTATTTGTTCTTTGGACGTTTGTACAGTTTCACATTTGTAGACCTGAATTTACTTGAAGATTCATTAGAAATTGGTGCAGCTTATTATTAGCTGAAGACAAATTATGACATGGTGAATAAGTTTTTCTATTTTTTTAAAAAAACCTGCCCTTCCTCGTAATGCTTATTTGGCTTGCTATACATCAAACCTGCATTTTAGTAGACGAAAAATAACTTTTCCAGTCTCTAGAGTTGCAGTCTCTCTCCCAAAGAGTTCCTTCTGCTTATAAGAGAGCTTTACAATTAATGTCTTGTTAATCTCGAAGCCAGTACATGCCACTACGGAGTCGGTTGTAATCTGGGAGCTGTTCAAGTGGGCCTAGAAATATAAAAGCAAAAATATTCTTAGGATCAGATAATAAACTTTTCTAAAAAATGCCAGGTAGTGATGAAAAAATAGCTTACCCACAGCAGCAATAGCAGGACACTTATCATATGTATATTTTGTACAAACATCCCTGATGGTTTGAGCATCAATTGCCTGAAATAAGAAGTACACTCCATCTTAACTTCTGCCCATTTTACCTAATTTAACCATCTGGTTATCAAAACAAACTATTTCAAATGGCAGCATGAGCTTAATTAAATGTTGCATCAAAGCAATCCAGATTCTGCAACTTGTATAAAAATTGGGGTGTGTGTGGAGTGTTGGGAAATCAAGGGGGAGTGGGGGATACAGAGAGAGATCCCGTTCGCAGGCAGGTGAAGAAAAGAAGGGTCTTTCCTTACCTGCTGGCCACACTTGTTCACCTTGCCTGCTACAGGAGGAGAGCCAGCTGGCCAGTGCAATTAATACTCGGCAAGTATGCGCTCTCTGCATGACCGCAGTGAGGCTTGCCTGCCTCATCTGCTCACTCGCTTGGCCTGGGAAAGGGAGTGCCAGCAGGCTGGCGTGATTAATACTTGGGGAATATGTGCTCTGTGCTATGATAGCGGCAGGCCTCGTCCGCCTGCTACTGTAGCAGAGTGTGCATACTTGCCGAGTGTTAATTGCACCAGCCAGCCGGCTCTCTTTCTCTTGTAGCGGTCAAGGCAAATGAGTGCAGCTGGCAGGTAAGGGCAGGGGCAGCAAGAGTTGTGGGGCGTGGGCCTCAAGTGAGGGGGCACTGCCCCTAAATGTCCCACTGTGGCTATGTGCCTGCTTGTATATATTCTTTTATTCTGCAGAGTTTGCCAGTCATGGGAAGAATCAAAGAACTGTACAGGACACTGAAACTCTGTTCCTGTAGCTCTATCTTGCTCCTGAGATTTCAGCAGGCATTGTCAACACACTTGGAAGGATAAGCGCTAAAATCCTGGTTTCGTTGGTTAAAGATGCAGCTACTATTACTAACTGATGTGACTTTAAAAAAAAAGTATCTTACTTCAATTCTTGCTTCAAGTTCGGGAATTGAGATTCGACGATTGTAACATAACATTTGTCGTCCAATGTCTTCACAAATGGGAGTGGAACCTAAAATTACACATTCTTAGCATATATACAAATTAATTACTGATTTTTTATAATGGAAAATACAATCCTAGTTCTTACCATCCAGTTGTAACAGCATGTTAGTTTTCAGAAGATTCTTAGCACGGGCTACTTCACTGTCAGCAACGCTGGTGGACAGCCTCACCCTGAAAGACATTGAGGTAAGTGAAAGGAGATTTGACATCAGTGAAAGGACATTTTTGCTTACTGCTTTTGTTCACAGTACTCAGTCCTTTTAGTTTTACACTTCACTGGATTGACCTCGAATAACTAACTGCATGGTGTAAATATTTTAGCAGGAGTCCTGGAGAGATCCTGCAATTGGGCTATTTCCTGTCGCATCTCAATGGTGATATGGTGCAGCCACAGAATGCTGCTATATGGTGAGATAGCCACTTCCACCCCCAAGCAGTTATTCAGAAATCCTTACCATTCTCTCTGAACAAAGTGCATCATATCCTCTATGGTATTTGCCTCACAAACCATGTAGACGCCCCACAGCCCGGTATCTGTGTAACAGGTGTTGAAGGACTGGAAACTATGGCAGAGGTTACCATGGCATGCAACTTGAGCAAGCTTACTGGACAGATTCTGCAGAAACAAAATTGAGAATATGTTTTAGGTGGTAACAGGACCTTTCAATGGTGTCAAATTATAAAAATGGTAATGCTATCCTTTTAAAGCCATTTTTTTTAAATATGCATTTCTTTTCTGCCCCAGTTCCTCTTATAAACTAATCTCTACACACTACAGATTAAACCCTAACAAAGTAATCCTAAAGAGGAAGCATGGCTTTTGGAAGTCTGTATAACTTGGTTTTTCATTTCCACCAAGGACAACATATGTAGTATCCTGGAAAAAAGCTTCAGCAGATGTAGTACATTCCCACATGAAATGGAATATGGACAAAGACTTGAACAATAGATTTTAAAAGTCTAACAGAAGTCCTCAGTAAGCTTAGTTTCTCTGGAAACAAAAAAAGGATTTCTTAAGTATTTTGGAAGGACCCAAGTTAAGAAAACAATCTGACATACTAAGAATCCTTTATCTGTAATGTTTGGACAACTCACCACCCCACCGCCGAAGGAACGATCCCAGTTGCCTATCAGTGTATTTGCCACCATAAGAGGAATTGTGTCCGGGTGACACCAGCCAGCAGCTTCAACAGCTATTGCAATATGTGCCAAAGGCATCTTATCATCCCGCACTCTAATCTGATCAAGAACAATTAATACAGGGGTTAGAAAGTTTTGATTAGCAATGTGACAAAAGGAACTGAAGCTATAAGGAGAGTGAGCAACCACCATATTTCAATATGTAAACAACAGCAATAGTAACAGAGCTTTGATTACACTTCAATAACCCCATGATAAAGTGTAACTCTTCTGTAAAAATGAGGTAAGTGTATTATTTATTTACTTCACGTATATGCCACCTTTCTCCCCAGTGGGGAACCAAAGCAACCTACACCATTCTCCATGTTTCCTTCACAACCATACAGTGAGGTAGGTTAGGCTGAGAGTCTGTCACTCAGCAAGCTCTCACAGCAGGCTGGGGATTTGAATGTGGGTCTCCCAGATCCTAGTCTGACACTTTCACCACTGTACCACACAAGAGCCGAACCAGAAAAAATGCTGGGCGTTCAATGGGCAGCGGTTGCAGATTTCCCTCCCCCTTCAAATATCAGGTATATGCTGGCCAGATTTTAACTGGGAGTGTACCACTTGGGGTGGGGTTCTTAAACCTTCCCCCCGTGCCATTTTCCTGATCTGACCCCCCCAGCAACAGCTGTTTGCTCCATGTGTGCTTGCTGCAACAGGGCAAACAATGGACCCATTTCAGGCATGGAAAATGGTGCAGGGGTGGGAAGGCTTAAATCTACCCCCTTCCCCTTGTCCTGGCCAGAATGAGCTCCGTAGCAAAGTTCATATTTGAAGTAGGGAGACCTAATATGAAGCCCAAGAGATCCTCACCCCAGCGGACCCCCCCCCCTCTTCCTCTGGTTTGATCCCCTTTCTGTACACCTGAGTGTGGGTCAAAAAATGATAAGAGCCTGAATTAAAGTGGCATCAAAAGAGAGTCAGTCATGCCAGAGGAAGAAAGGAATGCAAGGCTGCTCTTCTGCCAGTCATATGCATAAACCCACCCTAAGAGGGATTCAGTAGAGTGCCATTTCCCCCAAGGACCCTGAGCTTCCTCCCAGATAATCCGGTCACAACCAACAACACAGATTTCCAAAACAATAAGCAATGGCCAATCCCAGCAATGTCTTTCCTATCTAAATTACTGTATAGGAAGACTCCAGTCCTTCCCAATCGTGACAAATTCTGGCCCATAGATGCAGCCATATCTGACTTCTAGACCACCCCAAGGGAACATTTTTGACACTCCAAATGCAAAAGGGGAAAATTCCCCTCCACAATAGATATAAAAGTTTCACATACTTGCAGCCTAGGGCTGCCAAATCGGGCCGGGGGGCGGGGAAACCCCCGCTTTGGAGGCCCGATTTCCGCCGCGGCGGAATCGGGCCCCGGGGGGAACCCCACCCTGACGTGAGCACACAGGGCACACTGGGGGCGGGGCCACGGCCATACAAGGGAAAACTCTATGGTTTTCCCTTGTATAGCCGTGGCCCTGTGCCCGACTTGCTTACGTCACTTCCGTGTGGCACGCACGCAGAGGACGCCGGCCGGGAGCCCCCCACTCCCCGGCCGCACTTCGATTTGGCAACCCTATTGCAGCCCCCTCCAAAAGATTGCATTTTAATTATTTTCACTTTCATGCCAAAGTTCCTTTCCCTTCAGAATTCCAGGGTAAAAGGTATAAAAAGTCCTTCTTTCAGCCCTGAATTTTGTAGGTGGTTTGCAATCATCCTGTTCCTCCCCAGCCCCGGCAGTTGGTCTCTCCTGGATCCGGAATCTTTGCTCTACTGATATAGCACTGTGATTTGTGTCTTATAGTCATTTTCACCTTGTGAAGCAGTTTCTTCAGGACTGTGGACAACCCCACCCCCAATCAGGCTCATATGGTTTATTTTCTTTTGTGAAGAAATCCTCCCCTTTTCTTTGGGCTCTGCGGAGTGTGTTTTAAAAGTGACTGTGGGGTTTGGGGGTTTTTTTGTGGGTTAAAAATGGGAGGGGGAAGAGCAACTCACTATTACCAGGCAAGGGTCAGCTGACCGCATGCTTATAGGTGGCATCTGCAGTGAAAAGCAACCTCCCCTCTTCCCAGCTGGCAGCCCCAGAGAAGGGCTGATTGGCTAGACAGAGAGGAAGAGAAAGGCAAGTTCCCAGGCACGCTCTGGGCAGTTTCCCAGCAGTGCTCTGGGCCCCAAGGTGACGAGATCTGGGGTGGAAAGTTTTTTAACAGCTCCAGAGTGAGAAAATAGGGTCTCTGGATATTGGATTCTCAACAAGGGCAGACCTCCAGCCAGACTATTCCCCACGGTGGCCATTTTCTGCTGACCATGAGGTCTCCCTGGAGGCTGCTTGGAGCTCCTAGGTAATGGAACAACGGGAGAACAAACTTGCAACTTTCTAAGAGTATCTGTGCCTGCTCTATTTTTCCATCAGTTAGGGCATATTTATATTGGGGACAGAAGAACTGCGTTTCCTACCCTTTTTATTGTTCTTCCTTGCTTCAATCTGGTGCTGTGCTAAAAAAAATATTTTCTTTTTATTAAATATTTTAATCTGTTGATGCTGGTAGTGGTTCTCTGTACCAGTTAGACTTCCAACTGTCTTGGCCATACTATTGCAAGAGGGGCCCCAAGTGGGAGGAAAGCAGGCAGTGGGATAGGGTTGCCAAGTCACTCACCAAAATAAGCAGGGGAGAGTTGGCCCTGTTCTGGGATATTCGTGCGCGTGCGACGCGATGATGTTGCCCGGAAGTGACATCATCACGCTGGGCACGTCGCCGAGCAACACTCTAGCAACCAGCCTGAAAACTCTATGGTACCGTAGAGTTTTCAGGGTGATTGCTAGAGTGTCGCCCAGCAACGTGCCCAGCGTGATGACATCCCTTCCGGGTGACGTCATCATGCTGGGCAGGTCGGCCCAATCTGGCCACTTCAGGGGTGGGGTTCCCCCCACTGGCTGGACCCAGACCAGCGGATTGGGAGCCCTTATAGCAGGGGAATCCCTGCCCCTTGGGGGGACTTGGCAGCCCTAGAAGAAGAAGAAGAAGAGATTGGATTTATACCCCGCCCTTCACTACCCAAAGGTGTCTCAGAGTGGCTTACAAACTCCTTTCCCTTCCCCTCCCCACAACAGACACCCTGTGAAGTAGGTGAGGCTGAGAGAGCTCTTGAAAGAAACTGCTCTTTTTCAAGAACAGCTCTTATCAGAATTACGGCTTGCCCAAGGTCATCCAGCCGGGTGCAAGTGAAGGAGTGGGGAATCAAACCCAGTTCTCCCAGATCAGAGTCCGCGCACTTAACCACTACACCAAACTGGCTACAGTGGGAACATGGCTATATCTTCAGGGGAGCCCCAAAACTGTAACTGATCCCCACGGTAACCAGGCTTTGGGTAGTGGGAGACACAGAGGCCTCAGAACCAGGATGGGGAACTGGGATTCCTGTTCATCCGAGTAGGAAGTCCCTAAAATGAACAGGTGGTGGCAGTGAGTACCCTAGTGGAAGGAAGAGGTAACCCTCTCCAAGAGTTGGCAACGCCAAGAAGGGGTGGGCAGAGCAGGGTCTGCAAGTCAAAGCAGGCCTGTTCCACCACATCTTTTATAAGGTTTATTTCTCTGTAGGTAGGCAGCCATTCTAGAGAAAGATTTGTTTTATTGCCGTTACATTTCTATGCTGTACTATATTGTACACATTGGTTTCTTTCTCTTAGTAAAATTAAAAAACTAATTTGTTTAAGAATCTTTCCCCCCTCATTTTTCCAAGTGTTGATTGGAATCTGCACTTCCATATACATAGGCAATACGGCCCCAAGTGTTTAAGTGTTCAAGATACGATGTGTATTCTGTGGAGGCAGGAAGATGCCCTCTGCATGTTACAACCCTGACACATGTATACTGATACAGAACCTCTGGTGTCTGGATCCTCGGAGGGGAAAAAAACTGAAAAAAACACAAAGGGTGGGTGGGAATCAAGCCACCCCAAGAAAGAGCAGCCAGCAATCAATTATTACAACCATTTAACACTCCTCTGAATCACGGGTGTTGCTTTGAAACATGCTAACAGCCTCTGCCTGCTTTATCAAGTTTTGTAGCTGTTTCTGCAATTGGGGCTAGAGGCTCAGCTTACAAGATATCTTGTATGACTATTGTATTAGCAATTATTTTCCATGATGCTGCTCTACTAGGAAAAGAGCAGATGTCCTGTCTCAACTTACTTCACTGCCCGTGAACTGGCAAGGGGGCAGGGCTGGTGCTCCTCCTTTCACCATAGATGGTAAGTTACCAAAATGATACTTCGCTAAATCAAGCAACTCATCATGAGGGACTCCTAAATAATCGACATAAAACTACAATTTAGCAGGGGAAATACAAACTAATCATTTGCACCACAAATATTTCCATTTAGAAGCCAAAGTTACAATAATGTGTTAACTACACAATAATGTGTTAACTACACAATTGATTACATATTTGGCTTTCTTAGATCTCTTATATCCAGTTTAGCCAAAACTACTATTAAGGCTCCAACTTCTTGAAAAGTTACAATTTTCTTCCAATGTTTAAAAGCACTGAATGTAAGGAAAAGATCAGTAGTGAATCCAACTTTTCTCTTTTAAGAGGTAAACATTCTAACATTTGGATTATTTTATTTTTACCTCATTTATAGCCTGCCTTTCTCCCCCATGGGGACACAAAGCAGTTTACAATGTTCTCTTCTCCATTTCTTCTCACAACATCCCTGTGAGGTGGGTAGGCTGGGAGTGTGTGACTGGCTCAGGGTCATCCAGCAAGAGTGGGGATTCAAACCTCGGTCTCTCACTTAGACCAATACCACTACAACACACCTTACCTCCAAAAAGAAATTAACAATATGCAGTACTAGGTCTTCACCTTTTGTTTTTTAAAGGCCTCTATGGTACCAACCACAGAGGGTTTCCTTATCTCCGCTACCAACATAAAAATTATGCTTTGCATACACACCTCCAGCAGCAGCCAGTACCATTCTAGGTCCTTTGTAGTGTGTTGTTATATACTCCACCAAGTCATTACGCGTTATGGACCTGTAAGAGGTTCAGAAAAAAAGAAAGAAAAAACAAAATGCATGTGTGGTGCACATTAAATGGTTACGGGTTTAACCCAGGCTGAGAACCTTGAGTGACAGGGGATTCAAACGGCATTCTTCAGTTGAGAGTTTCAGTTGGCAGTTGACAGTTAACAGTGAGAGATCGAAGCAGACTGGGAGAAGATCAAGAAGGATCGTGAGTTCGGGAAGTGGGAGGCATAGGCCATCCCTATCAAGACTGAGGGAAATAGCTCCTAGTTAAGGGAGGGGGGATCCTATCAAGTCTGAGGGAAATAGCTTCTAGAAGACAGGGGTGATCCCTAAACAGTGGTTAAAGAAGGAAACTGGAACTTATGTGAATGTTCCTGCCTTTACCAACTTTCGTGTCTGTTAGACCAAGAAGCTTATGTTAGTTTGTATAAAAAAACTGCCAAGAAATCTCTCTCCTCAAATTTTAAAGACCTAGCTGAATAACAGAAACAGTTACTTTTTTGTGACACATTATCTGGTGTTTATTTTTATACAAATTTACCTCATTCCTGTTGCCTGTTCACTTCAAAAGTCCTTAGCCTAATTCCTACCTGACCGTTCCCACTCAAAATGAAATAAAGAGTCTGTTATTTTTGATTTATCATCAGCCTCTTGTGTGCCATTATCAAATCAGGACAAAAAGGATTTTAGCCTGTCCCTCAGTTCCCTAGGCTGGGTCAGGATCTGACAATATACATTTAAACAACTGGGTGGGACAGCCAGAGAAAAACAAAGATGAAAAAGGGGCTGCTCAGCAAAGAACGAGATAAAGGAAAACCTTGTGAGGGAGGGTGAAATCATCATAGCATCTAATAAACAATGGGTGCTAGAGCTCACCTAGTTGAACTAAGAACCCTTGGCTGAGGCTGAAGAGCAGTATATCACCTGTTAATTCAAGGTGCATCCAATGAAGTTGGTGGACTACCGCCCATCAGTTTAGATTCAAGAAACATAAAAGGAAATACTTCTTTACTCAATGAGTGATTAAAATGTAGAATTCACTGTCAGAGGATGCAGGGATGGCTACAGGCACAGACAGCTTTCAAGGGAGATTAGCCATGGTGACTAAAGAAAACCTCCACATCCAAAGGCAGTAAATTTCTGAATCCCAGTGGCAGGAGGAAACATCAGCAGAAGGCCTTGACACCTGTGCCCTGTTTGTTGGCCATCTACAGTAACTGGCTGGCCACTGTGTGAAATGGGATGCTGGAGTAGAAGAACCACTGGCTGGATACAGCAGGGCTCTTTTTGTGTTTTTAAGGTGGCTGATGCTAATTTCATTTTGGCAACAACAGGTACAATTACATTTCCATGTAATTAACATAATATAGTAGCCATGGTTTGCTCCTTTAAAAAAATCCAGTAGATGTGCAGCCTAGCCTGTTATTTGTATAGCAAGCAGCATCCACTGATGTGAGCATGCACGTGCCTCTTTTCTTACTAGGCATGTGTCCCTTAAGCAAAAGTAGTGCTGGGAACTCTGCCATTACAGCCAACCCAAAACCTATTAAAATGATCTTTACAAGAGATTAAGCTACAAGTTGTATTTGAGAAACAAGCTGAATTTCATGAAGCATTTTTAAAAATCTGTGTTGCCTGTCACCAGTTATGCCACAGGGAAGAGGGCAGAGGATGAACTGTGGGGGGAAAACTCGACAATTAGGTTGTTTTACTTGTGGTACAATGTATAATGACTGCTGTATAATGTACAATGTATAATGACATCACATGCCATATTGTGGCACTACCTGGCATTTAACAATACAAATATTCATTTCCTGGAAGAAGAAGTGCTTGAAATATGCCACATCCCTGCAAGAAAAGCAATAGCTAGAAGAAAGACATGAGGCCGATAAAAGAGCAAATGCTCTTTTAAGTCGTATACACATACATGTCCTAATTTAATTGAGAGCCAATTTCTTTCCAACTAGGGATCTTCATTTTATGGATTTCAATATCATTTTAGAAATGGGAGCAAAAATGGTGAAACATACTTGATATTTTCTGTGGGTCCTAAAATAGTTCGCCCTAGTGCAGTGTCTTGATAAGCTGTCGCGTGAAGATAATCAAAGACTACTTCCTGCAAATTGGTCTCAACTTCCTGCATCTCTCGAAGGATCACACCACGCTCCCGCTCAATTTCAGCCTCCCCAAGTGTGCTATTCTGTATGATGTCAGCAAGTATCTCCACAGCTGCAGGAATAGGTAATAAAAAAATGACAGCAACAGAGAAAATGTTAAAGTCTTTTCACTATATTCTATCAGCTATCAAATAAATTTCATGCAGTACAATCATACATGAAGTTAATCTACATCCTTTGCAGTCAACTGGACTGGAATAACTCTGAATAGGATTGCACTCAGATGTATATCTAATCAGGGGTCGTTTCGTAGAAAAAGAGCTAGGGTAACTTATTAGCATAACTCATTAGCATATGCCACACCCCCTGACATCACCGGAAGTGTGTCATAAGGCCACACCCCCTGACATCACCGAAGTGTGTCATAAGGCCACACACCCTACCCCCAACGGTCCAGGCCGGCGGGAGTGCAAGGAAGCCCCGCAAAGGCCCTCCCTGGCCCCAGGCAGGCAGGGGTGGGGAGAGGCAGGGAGGAAGCAACTTACCCTCCCTCTTCTCCTGCCTCCTCCTGGCTGAATGAGGGCCAGAAGCGGGACAGCCGGAAGCAGGGGGCGGGGCTTCGTCATGTGCCCCGCCCCCGTACCCCACCTGGGAGAACTGCGATCCCCCGCGATCCCCCCCGAAATGACCTCTGTATCTAATAAATGGTGTCATATGGGTGAAGTATGAAGAAGTTTATGCATATCACCCTCTCATGGTATACAAGGTAAGATGGACTTCTCTCTATGCCTGCTAATAGTCAGCCCTGATCCTAGACCCATTGGCAGCATAATAGTAGCCACTGGCCCCACTTTTCTGGCACAAATCCCTGGTGGTGGTTGTAGTGCTAGGCAGGGATACTTGTGTTGCATCAGCAGGTCAGGGAGTGATTTAGAACAGATGACGCTGTGGCATGGCATTCTAGCAGACGGAAGGGAGAGAGAAAAGTTAATGCATCCCTGTGCACAGCTTAGAAGAGAAGCCCCTGAGGCAGCAGGCAAAGCCAGATGGCTCTGCTCTGCTCCTGGCCTGTACCTATGGTGGGGCTATTGGGGGCTCAGCCCCCTCCCTTAAAGGGACAGCCCCACAAGATTTCCCTCTTCCCTTGCTAGCGCAGTCTTCTCCCTGCTTGCTAGCAGGAAGAAGTCTCCAGGGCTGGCAACAGGGGCCATGCAGCTGCCTCCTCTCTTCCCCTGCCAGCCAACTGAGCAGAGAGGGGGTTTACACTTTAAACCTCCTCTTTGGAGTGACGCCACAGTGGTGGCACAATTTCTCCATTGGATGCAATGGAGAAATCGTGCTGCTGCTGCAGCATGACTCCAGAGAGGGGTTTAAAATTTAAACCCTGTCTCTGCTCAGCTGGCTGGCAGGGGGGGAGAGGGGAGGGAGGGGGCAGCCACATGGCCTCCTTGTCCGCTGAGTCTTCTGCCTCCTAGCAAGCAGGGAGAAGACTATGCTGGCAAGAGGCTGTGCCTCCCCTCTCTTCCCCCTGCCAGCCAGCTGAGCAGAGATGGAGTTTAAACTTTAAACCCCCTCTCTGGAGTGGCATGCAGTTTAAACCCCCTCTCTGCTCAGCTGGCTGGTGAGGGGAAGCGTGGGAGATACATTTAAACCCTCTTAGGGTCTACATTTTTATTTAAAATTAAGCCCCCCCAGAACCCCCCCAGATAAAAAATCCTGGCTACAGGCCTGCTCTGCTAGCTGGATAAATCTATGCTGCTACAACCAAAGCAATTTCTTAAGACTAGGCAGCCAAGGGAGATGCCAGTGCATATCCAAGGGAGCTGGTGTGGTGTAGACCTTGATTTAAGTCCCCACTCTGCCATGAGGCTTGCTGGGTCATCTTGGGCCAGTCACTTTCTCTCTCAGCCAAATTTCCTTACAGGTTTGTTCTGAGGAAGGGAGAACCATGTATGTTGCTCTGAGGAAGGGCAGGATAAAATTATACTGGATAAGTAGAAGAATACAATAGGTTTTATGGGATAATGAATGTGTACTGGAACACTGTCATTTCACATAAGTAGTTGAGCATGCTCCATGTGAGCAGGAAAGAGTATGTAGCAGTATACTTTAATTTTTTCACCTCCTTCCTAAACCTCTTTAATCAAAAGTCTTGTGGCTTTTAAAGGAACTTATGTTCATAACTTACTTTGCTAGATTATGAAACTTATCTTAGGAAAACAGTTCATGGTTCCAGTGACAGTCCTGAATACATACATCAGTGGGGGAAAACCCAATGAAAATTATCAGTGAAAACTCCCAGCAACTACTACTAAGCAGCTCTAACCATGTCAGACACAGAAAGAGGAAACAATTAATAACTTAGAAACTGTCAGGAAAGTACACAGATATATAAATTTTAGATAATTTTGTATTGTGGGGACCAATTCTTGCAGATCTGTAAAATGGTGTCAGTGCAAATGGCATTTTATAAAATGCTTACAAACAGGGTAATGGAATTGGAGTGGGCCTTGTAACCTAGAACAGCATCAACACTTGTTTGTATAATGCAGACAAAACTCCAAGACCAGTTTTAAGGTCAAGTTGATCTCTATCCATTTAGGAAGTAACTAAGCTCACCAAATTAAAGGTACATTGTACCGCTCTTGTTAGCCGCCCTGAGCCTGTTCGCAGGATGGGCGGGGTATAAATATAATAAATAAATAAATAAATAAATAACACTAAGGATTTCTTCATACATTATGTTTTTATGGCTGCAAACCTATTCACATTTAATTGTGTGGGGGGGAGCCATCAAGTTATGGTGACCCCGTTGGGTTTTCAAGGCAAGAGATATTCAGAGGTGGTTTGCCATTGCCTGCCTTCGTGTCACAACCCTGGTATTCCTCGGATATTCCGTGGAGGTCTCCCATCCAAACACTAGTCAGGAGAATGAGAGACAGGCAAACATCACACTACCAACCTTTTCTTTAACCCATCGTGCTTAACTGCAGCTTCAAAAGTAACATGGAAAAGTACGCCATGGAGAGGAACAGGTCCACATTTTTGCTAGCCCTTGTAAACCCAGATGATGTCCTTAAAATCACTTTTTAAGGTTAATGTCTTCAGAAAAATTCAGTCTATTAGGAATTTATGGTTACCTCTTGGCAAATCCTTTGAAAAAGCCTTTGCATAATAAACAGTTTGTTCTCTCGATGTATAAGCATTCAGATGAGCTCCCATGTTTTCAATTTCTAGCTCTAGGTCTAACTGAGACCTCTTTTTTGTTCCCTGTAATTTAGAGAGAGATAATTAGTTCAGCTCTGGATGACAAGAGAACAGAAGAGCCAAATGTCTTCAGTGGAAAAGGAAGAAACACATTTGAGAAATTATATAAAGGGATGGGCACGAACCAGGTAAGCTGGGTTTGGGTTCGCAAACCAGCAGTTTCCAAATCGGTTCCCAAACCGGCCATGTTCACAAACCGAACCAGTTCAGAAAGGGGGGTTAGTGCCCCCCAGGGTCCTAGAGGCCCCAAAATCACAGTGTATCTCCAGAAGACTATTCTTGGGTTGACCATCAAGTCTGGTGAGGCTTGGACTTGGGGAGGGCGAATTACAACCCCCAAACAAGGTGAGAGCTCCGAACAAGGTGCCCCAGGAAACTTGTTTTTAGGAACATTTTTGGCATCAGTTCGGGAGTGCATAGAATCGACCCTGGATGAGCTACAGATATCAAACTTGTGCAGCACTCCCCGGCGCCCCCCGAAACAAGGTGCCCCCAGAAAAGTGCTGTGGGGAGATGTGAGGCACAGGTTCTGGAGTGCATAGCGCCCAACTACTATATCCCACACTCATGAAGCCCCTGCCCAGGGTCCGGGAGCCACCTACACAGTTGTGGGTGGCTGAGTCTCCCGGGCCCATCCTCCACCACTGACACAGTGAATGCAGGGCAGGGCCAACCCCCCTCCCACTCTGCCCAGGAGGAGTAAGGGACCCCAGGCAGTAACTCTGGAATCAGGCAGGCACCCACACAGATAAGACCCAAAGGAGGAGTGGGGTGGCGTTTGTAATGAGAGCTAAGGGACCCCAGGCAGTAACTCTCTGGAATCAGGCAGGCAAATCACCACAGCAGAAGTGGGGTGGCATTTGAAATGAAGACGAGTAAGGGACCCCAGACAGCAACTCTGGAAGCAGGCAGGCACCCACACAGATCAGCCCCAAAGGAGAAGAAGGGTGAGGTTTGAAACAGATAGGAGTCAAGGAAAGGGACCCCAAGGAGTAACTCTGGAGCCAGGCAGGCAAAAAACCCCTCCTGAAGCAGTGGGGTGGCATTTGAAATTAAGAGGAGAAAGGGACCCCAGGTGGTAATTAAGTTGACCCCCCACAAAAAAAAGCAGCCCAGAACCAAAAGCATGCAAAGAGAAATCCCTCCACTGCAAACCAAAGGAGGGAGGGGGGAGCGAATAAAAACAAAAGGGAAGGGAAAGCTGAGAGCAGCAAACTCCCACTAAACCCAAATATGCGCTATGTGAAAGAAGAATTCAATCCCACTCTTCCCACTCTTTGCACCAAGAAAACCAACGAAAAGAATAGTGACTCAGAGGAACCCAGGGCAAAGCTAAGTATCCCCCCCCCCCCAACGACTGAGTAGGCTGGTTATTTGACTCCATTATGGAAATGGAAACTCAGGTTTCTAGATTTGGGCTGCTGTGGTATTTCATAGGGTATCTACGGAGGAGCCAAAGTCCAATGAGATGGTTCCTTTAATAAACAGGATTTGGAATCCCAAATGGCTGCCTTGCAACTATGGGATTCTTTTCCCACTGACTCTCTAAAATCTGGGTGTTTTTTGGGTGTGTGGTATTTCTAGGTTTTTGGCCATTATGTTATTAGTGGCTAGGCTTCTGGGACGATTTGCACAATTTCTAAGAAATATCAGGATGAAATGGACTACAAGCCCTATCAATTTACTAAAAAGCACAAATTTGAAGAAAGCATGTTCATCTTATAATAGTGAAATCGGGATATCTTTGTTCTTAAATCCAGTGACCAGAGCTGTGAATGGACAAGACAGACCTTTCTACAAACCTGAAAAGGTTTGCAGAAAAATATAAAATCCAAAAAACCCACACTGGGCAGCTTTAAAAAGCCGAAAATAATAAAAGGAGTGCCTGTAGCTTTAAAAAAGTTTCCCTCAGTGGCTGTTGACAGGCAACCCTAGTACTCCAAGCTTGGTTCTGACAGTAAAACAGAAGGGGGAGGGCCCTTTCCAGTCCTATTTTGGCCTTTGAGGGAGGGATTCTTGGACTCAGGCCTGACAAGGGTTGCCAGCTCCAGGTTGGGAAATTCCTAGAGATTTTGTAGTGGAGTTTGAGGAGGCCTCAGCTGGATATAATGCCAGAGTCCACCCTCCAAAGCAGCCATTTTCTCCAGGGGGACAGATCTCTGTTGTATAATTCTGGGAGATCTCCAGGTCCCAAGTGGAGGTTGGCAACCCTAGGCCTGGTAACAACCTCTGCGTGACTTGATACCATCTGACTGGCATGACTCAACTAGGCCCGGTTACTTGCTACTGTTCAACAGCAGCCACCCTATGAAAGCCAGTGTGGTGTAGCAGTTAGACCTTCAGAGTAGGGTCTACGTGACCCAGGTTCAGACCCCCTTCTTGCTGTGGAAGCTGACAGGATGATTTTAAACCAGTCACATACTTTCAGCCTAAGTCACTTCACACAGTTGTTGTGCAAATAAAAAGGAGGAGAGAATAATGTTAAGTTAGGGTTGCCAAGTGTCTTACCTGGCGCAGCAGGGGACAGTCGGTCCCAGCCTGGTACCATAGAGTTTTCAAGCTGATTGCTAGAGCATCACCCGGCGACGTGCCCCGCGTGATGACTTCCAGGCGACGTCATCACCCCAGGCATGTCGGCCCGATCTGGGCACTTTGGGGGTGGGGCTCCCCCTGCTTGCTAGATCTGGACCAGTGGGTTGGGGACCCTTTGGGTGGGCAAACCCCCACTCCCCCGGGGGACTTGGCAGCCCTATGTTAAGTTGCTTTGGTCCCCACCATGGAGATTGTAGTTTTCCTAGGTAGAGGCTGCGGGGGAGTGGGGAGGAGACAGAAAGCTAAAAACAAAGGTGCAGATAAAGGTAGGTTGGCTGTTGGTGGGAAGGAAATACAATTGCCGACTCCAAGTTGGGAAATTCATGCTTATTTGTGGGGTGAAGCCTGGGGAGGGTGGTGCTTTAGAAGGGGAGGGACAGCAGACAGGCATTATGCCATAGACTCCACCCTCCAAACCACCATTTCCTCCATGAGAACTTACTTTGCCAACCTCCAGGTGAGGGCTGGAGATCACCCAGAATTACAACTGCTCTCCAGATGGCAGAGATCAATTCCCCTGGAGAAAATGGCTGCTTTGGAGGACAGACTCTATGGCATTATACCCTGGCTAAGGTTGCTTCCCTCCCCGAGCCTCACTATCCCAAGGCTCTACCACCAAATCTCCAGAAATTTCCCAACCTGGAGCCAGGCTTACCAAGTGCTTACTGTGATTCGGTGGGGGACACATACATCTTCCCAGGACCATTCCTGCGTGGACAACAAACGCGCCGCACCATGCCATTGCCAGGAAGTGACGCCGGGCGGCACTCTGGCAATGGGGCTGGAAACTCGATGGTACCATCGAGTTTTCAGCTCCATTATCAGAGCGTCGCCCAGTGTCACTTCCTGGCGACGGCATGGTGCGTTACAGGGAGGAATGTTCCGGCCGGGGAGCATGTGTCCCCCGCTGGATCGCGGTAAGTACTTGGGAACCCTACCTGAAGCTGGCAGCCCTAAGGGGAATGGATCTCTGTAGCTGGGAGATCTGTTGTGATTCCTGGAATGCTGCAGCTGCCACTGCTGCTGGGGGGGGGAGGAAGCAGGTGGGAGGCTGGAAGAGTGATGGGGGCAGAGAAAGAAAGAGTGATGAGGTACAGAGGCAGAAAAGCAAAGAGAGTGATGGGGGCAGAGAAAGAAAGAGTGATGAGGTACAGAGGCAGAAAAGCAAAGAGAGTGATGGGGCAGAAAGAGAAAGGAAGTGGCATGCATGGAGGAGAGAGAGAGTAAGAAAGGGGGCAGAAGGGAGAAAGAGTGTGAGAGAGGTAGGGGAGAAGGAAGGTAGGAAGCAAAGATGTGAGGAATGGGATAACCATCCCACAAGTTTCTCGCGGGTCTCCACTTGTTTAAATGCCTAATATAGAATGCCTCTGAAATAAAATGAAACTCCAGAGCAACATAAAAGGCTGCCCCTTGGTTATAACACATAACCAAAGTAGGCATAACACAAAGAGGTGGGGAAGAAATTTTTCCCACAAAAAATATTCAATTTCTAAAAATTCATTGTTTCACAAAATTAATAACAGTTTTTATTTCTTTACTTTATTAAAACATTTATCTTCCACTTTTCCTTGTGGTTCAAGGCAGCTTACAATAAGAGTTAAGACCATTTCCAATTAAAACCAGAATAGAATAACAAACCCCAAATCTCTCTGAATATATACAACTGCTAATATAACACTAGGCAAGCTTAGCAGGTTCAAAGTTGCAATTAATGTTTCGTCAGGTGATTATCCCTAGGTATTGCATGAAACAGTATGTGCACATTTTATTCATTAGTAATGGAGGGGGCAGGGTGGGAGAGAATAAAACCAGAAATACATACAGCAATTCAAATTTTAAAAATCAAATTTTGACTTCACCTGATTGGCTGTGCAGGTCAAATCAAAACAAAGCTAAAATGCCTACGTATATGCCTCCTCTCTCATTGTATCCGACATGGTAAACAGCCTTCTCTTAGCTTCCAGAGGATATAGTGAAGGTCATAAGTATAGTCAGCTTTAAAAGCGGATTAGACAGATTAATGGAGGACAGGTCTATCAGTGGCTATTAGCCATGGTGACTAAAGGGAACCTCCATGTTCAGAAGCAGTAAACCTCTGAATGCCAGCACCAGGAGGCAACATCACGGGAAGGTCTTGGCCTCCATGCCCTGTTGCTGGATCTCCAGAGGAAATGATCGGCCACTGAGTGAGACAAGATGCTGGACTAGATGGATTACTGGCCTGGCTCATCTTGTGTTCTGCAAATCCATCCTGCTGAGCACACTGCTACATCCTACACAAGCATATGGGATTCTAGCAAGCTGTCTCCCAATGAGTAATACAGCACTCTGGTATGCAAGAGGCAGCCTGGTGGAACTCTCTGCCAAATGACATCCATGCCCTGTCTGATCTATTAAAATTCTGAAAGGGCATGCAAGGCAGAGATGTTCCACCCGGCCTTTGGTCGAGGCCAGCGACGGTTCCATTACATCTGCACGGTACCCTCCCCTCTCCCCCTGAAGAACTGAATGCTAAATATGCCATCTTGTTTAAAATATTTAAATATCTATGTTGAATGTTTTAATACTGAATTCTGTAGTTTTAACTGCTTTTAAAATTGTATTGGATTTTATGTTGTTACAAACCACCCTGAGCCCCATGCAAGCAGGGAAGGGTGGTTAAGAAATCGAAATAAATAAATAAATTCCTAGGGGCTGCCAAACAATCCCATCAGCCACATGCAAGCCATATGGTAGAGGTCCCCCACAGAAGTACTGACAGAATCAGTCACATGTAGAAATGGCCGTCTCTTCCCTTAGCATTTAGTCATCTTAAACGTTTTGAAGATTTAAACATTTTATACAAGGTTATTTAAGCCAGTTTGGTGTAGTGGTTAAGTGTCTGGACTCTAATCTGGGAGAACCGGGTTTGATTCCCCACTCCTCCACTTGCACCTGCTGGTGTGACCTTGGGTCAGTCACAAGCTCTTGCACAGCTGTCCTTGAACAAAGAGCAGTTTGTGTCAGAGTTCTCTCAGCCCCACCCACCTCACAGGGTGTCTGTTGTGGGGAGGGGAAGGGGAAGGAGTCTGTAAGCCGCTCTGAGACTCCAAGTGAAGGGCGGGGCATAAATCCAATCTCTTCTTCTTCTCTTCTTCTTCTTCTTCTTCTTAACCTAAATTGCCTACTTACTTCCTAGCCTAAGGCTAGGCATAAGGTCTCCTGTGTTAAAATATTTCAGTCCAAAAATAATACATTAAGCCTGTTTCAAGACTTACTTTAAAAGCCATGTGCTCCAGGAAGTGGGCTGTTCCGTTGTTTTTCTCATTCTCGTACCTGCTTCCAGCGTCAATCCAGAGTCCCACCTCATTCAAAACAAATTCAAAACAAATTATTAGTCCTACCAACTGATATGGGGGGGGGGATACTGCTTCCAACATTCTAAGGGAAGAAGCTGTTCATTTTGCTCAAATGGATGAAAACTCAATATAAGACGTTTTGTATCCAAGAGACAGAAAATGGAGACAGCTAGACATGCAATCTGCTCTCAGCCCCGCCAAACATCAGCACCATCTTCAAACACCTCAAGATGCTCTCATTGTTACTATGTACTTTTGATGTCGACCAAGCAACTTCTCCTAGCTCTAGCACCAACACATGATGCTGCTCTTTCCATAGAGGTCCCTACCCCCAAGAAAGTAGGCATAAAGGTATTCTTGAACAGTCAGCAAAGATGGGGTATACAGCACCTTTATGAAAAGGAACTGGGCAGAGAATTGGCAGTCAAAGCACAGAAAACTACAGGACGTGAAATCAATTTTTCCCCATTTTGGAAAATCTTCATTTTTTTATATGAGATATAGTATTGTGAAATTATTATCTGTTGCTACACCACTTTTCACATCATATACATTACCCATCCACCCGTTTCTATCAAAAGCTACTCATCTTTGGCAGACTCCTCATGAGGCACATGTGCATACTTGATAAGGCGCAGACAGCTGTGCTAGCATTCTGCACAAGGAATGTGAGTGAGCTCTCTCCTGCAACCTTGCTAATGTTGCATATCAGGCACAGGCAGTTGCAGGCAGTCCCACGGCAGCTGAAATGGCTTTCAGAGAGTGCATAGGCAAGTCAGCCCAGGGACTACCCCATCACTACATATCTCAGCCCCCAGGCTACATTACTGACCATGGATGGTGGCTGTTACTGGTGTATCACCCTGGTCTCCTCTGTTGCACTAGTTTGATATTCAAAATCAAACTGCAACACCAGAATACCCATTCAGGTTGCAACAACGGCCCCTGAGCTCCGTGACTGACTGCTTCCCTGCTGATGCAGCAATCCAGACATTCGCACAAACATTTTCATTATCTATCTCCTACATAAAAGAAGGGAAGGGGAGGCAGCATGGTATAGCCTGATCCTATCAGATCTTGGAAGCAAAGCAGAATTGGTGCTTCGATGAGGGACCACCAAGGAAGATGCTGCAGAAGAGGACAATGGCAAACCATCTCTGCTTCTCACTTGCCTTGAAAGTCCTCTGCTGGGGTTGCCGTAAGTTGGTTGTGACTTGATGGCACATATGTACACACACACAAATTCTTACACTAAGGCATTCCATGTAAGAGAAATGAACTGTAACTACTCCCGCATGCCAATTCTGAACACGTTTACTGAGAAGCAAATATCACTGGGAATAGATGAGATTTACTTCTGAGTAGGTAAAGTATAAGGTCACCGTTTAAATATTTTCAAAGCTTTCTTAATTTAACAATATTGGTTTAAAAAAATCACAGATAGGGGTGGAAGAGGGGAAGCAATTCACTCACAACTGTTACCTACTGTGCATGTGGAAAGTCCAGAATCTTCAGAAGCAACTCTTAAGCCATTTTCCAGGCATGACACCTTTGTCTCAGGAACATTGACGGCAATCTGGGGTACTTCTTTGGTAGCTGTGCATTTGCTTCTTCCAAGATGTACAAACTGTGGGGCAAAAACTGTCATGAGCCAAGACAAACCACTGCCTTGTGAGAGCCATGCAATGCAAATGTGTGCCTATACAGTATACTTATAAGAAAACAAGATTCATTACAAGGAACGTGTGAGAGAGACTGACAGTCTAGCTATTATCTGAGCATACAAAACAGTAAATAGTTCCCAAGTTTTTCCCGTGACTTTTACTGTAGCCAGCTTTGATTTCAACAGAGACGGAAACCAGGTTAACTTTGACCAGTTTATAGTGAGCCTGAAAACCTCAGTTTGTGTTCAAAGCAGTGGGGATTTTTTCATGTCTCGACCAGACTTTCATAATCCCAGAATTATGGAGTCCAGTTTTGTGACGAGGTGATTGTTTCAGCCCCAAACCTCCACTCCATGCAGAAGTTGTGGGACAGCCTTATGGTATAATTTCAGAGCTGGGTCAATCAAGGAACCTCCTTTAGTACTGTAGATTTTCAGAACAGCACCTATGGTTCTTAAAACTGTGGATCTGGTGAACATCAGGTGAGCACTCCAAGAAGTAATTCTGATAAAGGTTACCACAAGATATTCAAAGGTGCTGCATTGGTCTACTGGGGTGCCATCAATAGTCCAGTGAATTTGCAGTCTTTTTCTGAATACCATCACATTGCTCTTTGCGTGGTTAAGATTTAAGGCCTCTTCTGTGGAAAAGTTGCCTAGCTTTTGTAATTACCATTTAAGGCCCATGTGTTTGAGAGACACTAAAACTATATTGTCAGTATATAAAATAAATACTAATTTACAAGAGCCTAAAGGTGGAACAAACTCACAGCCTGATAGCCTCAGAATGATATCATTTAAGTACAAACTGAAAAGCAGTGGAGCCCAAACACACCCCTGTTTTACTCCTCTGGTAATTGGGATTTCTTTGGTTAGTGAGCCTGAAAAGCCCACCTTTATTTTGGCAAAGATGTTTGTGTGGAGTTCCTGTAACAGACACAGTAGGTGTTTGTCAATGTTTGTACCTGCTAAATCCTGCCAGAGCCATTTTCTGTCAATTGAATCAAAAGCAGCTGTTAGGTCTACAAAAGTCACATACAGAGATTTAGTGGGACCCTTGATGCTTTGTAGGGCAAGGTGATAAAGAGTTAAGCAATCTTTGACTATGCTTTGCCCTTTTCTGAAGCCAGCTTGCTTGGGCTGGATAACATAGTTGGAAGCCTCCCAACCCTTCAACTTGCGTAGAAGATATTTACTGTATAGTTCGGAGGCTATACCCAGCAAACTTATTAGACGGCAGTTGTGAGGGGCTGATTTATTTCCCCTTCTAAACAGTGGGGCTCAGTTTCCACTTAGGTTAGGTTAATCTGAGTAAACAGCTTGGCTAAAATGGGCACCCACCAGTAAAAAAATCTAAACATCTCAGGAGGAATCAGATGCTCACCTGGGGACTTGCCAGAGAAGAGAGAAGGCCTCTTATCTTGGATACTGTGATGGGAGGCCATTGTGGTAAAATGGACAAATCTAGGAGTGGTGTCTACCTTACTTCCTCATTCTCCATAATGGAATGGCCCTGAATATCTGCTATAATGAGCATACCAGTCTGGAATTATGGAATGACACTGGCTTATCCAGTGAGGAGTGTGAAGCATTTTGCACATGTACCAAGGTTGTTCCCTCATTATTAGTGCTTTGGAAGCTCCAGGGCTAAGCCCTAACCCTGAAACTTGTTGCAGAGGTAGATCCCAGTTCCATTTAAGGTTTGGGTACCACTCCAGTCTCCTGTTATATTCTTAGGGGGACAGAAAAACCTTGCAGGTAGCTGGAACCATAGACAAAAGTCCTGAAGCACCCAAAGCAAAAAACCGTGTCCCAGCAAAGCTCTACTTTGAAAGCTCTATTCTCGACATCAACCAGGCCGCAGTACTCACTACAGGGAGCGTGGTAGTTTAAGGGGCTGGAAGATGCCCAACTTCCAGTAGTGTGGGATATAGCAGTTGGACAGTATCACCAACAGTTTTCAGGAGAGCCTGTTAAGGCAAAGCTCTTCCATAATGCTTCTTGCTGACCTGGGACACTTGCCATGAGCTGATTTTTTTTTAAAACCTGAATAATCTTGTTTCTTGTTGTGCTGAGACTTTTGAATGCATTCACTTTTGTAATAGCAATCTGTCAATTTGACTATATTGTTTGACGGAGCCTTTTGTAAGACTATTTTGAAACTGTCTTGAGCTTTATGGAAATCTATAAGTATAAAAAATAAATACTCCCTCATTTAAAACATGTTTAAGAGGCAATGTTGAAGACTCAATTACTCATCTTCAACACTACCTAATTTCGTACAAAGACACACAAGAAATCAAATCTTGTTGGGACCCACATGATAGGATTTCAAAGACCTCCTTCCATTGCCCTGCTGTGCAGGGACTCTGTAGCAGTGTAAAGTGTGTGTGTGTGTCTATTTTATCCTCACAATAACAGATTGCCTTGAGTCAAGTTAAGCAGAGAACCAGGATAGCTCAGAGGGTCATTCAGAGTTCAATCCTAAACAGAGTTACATCCTTCTAAACTCATTAAAGTTAATGAACTCAGAAGAGTCTGTTTAGGATTGCACTGTCAATGAACTTCATGGCTGAGGATGTATTTGCGTTCATATACACTCTGTTCATTCAGATGGCATGCATCCTGTTCAATACAGAGACCTATACTCTAAAAATCTGCAAAACTGCTGAACTTTGGAAAAGTAAACTTACACCTGCCAAAAATGCTTGGTATAATATGAGTACTGTTAATAGCTGACATGACTGCAAAAGTTAAAGCCATAAAAATTCCTTTTATAAAAAAATCCATATGGTAAAACAATTTTCTTTTTATCATCTGTTGACTCAAAGATTTGGCCCTTGTCTTTAAGGACTTAATTCCTACAGCGAACTCTTATGAAGCCTAAAAGATATGCAAACCACTGTAAATCTATTATATAAATAATACATTGTTATTTTATTTACAAAACTTATACCCCTGCCTTTCTGCCATAATCAGGACTACCAAGGAGGCTAACAAATTTAAAACATACATAATAAAAACACATCTTAAAACCAAATAAAAACACAACATTAAAACCCAAAGTAAAACATATACACAAAAACAGTGATTAAAACACAAGGAAGGAAGGAGGGAACGCCAGATGAAACAAAAAGTATTCACTCCCTGATGCAAAATGCCTGATGCCAAGTTTCCAGGGGAGAGAGATCCAGAATCTTAGTGCCATAACCAAGGAGGCCCTCTCTCAGGTTGCCAGCTGCTTCAGAAAGCAGGGGCACGCAAGGTATAGCCTCACCAGATAACCATAGTTGGTGTGTAGGTTCATGGAGGAGTATGCAGGTATGTGTTAGCAGCTTCTTAACCTCATTCTTAACCTCAAACTATGCGGTAGCATTTTGTATTGTGACTAATGGGCTGTAACGACGATTGTTTGAATATATACAGAAGACGGCTAGGAAAATTAAAAACAAAGACCTTTTGGGGTGGGGGAGGCTGCATTTTAGCAGGTCTTGAGAGCAATTAAGCCCTCTTACTATCATAGTGTAATTATACAGCACGAACTACAATAACATTCAGTGTGCACGGGATTGTCTCTGGCGCGCCGTCATCGCATCCAAGAAGCAAAAGGGAAGTCCAGGGGGATTTTAAAGACTAGCAACAGAACGTCTCACGAAATGTCATACTGAAATAAATGTAGTTAATCTTTAAAGTGCCACTGGACTTCTGTTTCGCGACAGCAGACTGTCACAGCTAGCCTCTGGAATCCAATGGATGGGATGCGCCAGAGGACTACGTGTCCCAGCATGCCAAGCGCCACTGCTTCTATGGTAGAACGGGGGAGCGACCTTTCTTTCCCTAGCCCCAGAGCCGGGGACGCCGAGCCTGGAACCCTGAGGTCTCTCCCGCCGTTGCCCGTCAGACTGAGGATGATTCTTCACTTACCTGCTTCACGGAGCTCCGCGTGAAGAGGGGGCCCAACGAAGGCCACAGGAAGTGCCTGCCGGCTCGGCAACCCACTGATGCGGCGGCGGCTGCCGCCATATCACTGCAAGGATGGCTGGCTGAGACGCTCGGACTGGGAGAGCTTCCGGGGGGAGCCGGATGGCGGTATTGAAATAAATAAATATGGCTTGTGGCAACATTACGTCTGATTGCGCGTGCGTGTGTCTTTTTTTTTTTTTTTTACCGGCTTCCTCTTTGCTCTCATTTTGTTTCAGGCAGGAGATCATGAGAACATTCTGTGATCTTGTGTAAGCTAGATAGATCTCTTTCAAAATGTCGTGTGTTGGACATAAGGAGAAGTAATAAATGATGACAATATTGATTGCCGGTATCTTTTTCTCATTTATGAATAATTAATATTTTCGCGGAGTGGTTGATAGGTTGTTGTCCCCCCTGCTTCAGACAGATTCTACTGTAGTCTTACTTGGGGAAGGAATGGCCAAACAGATTTTTTAAAAATTAAAATCTCAGTGTAGTTGTTGTTCCAAGACACGTTGTTAAGAACCTCACCATTGTACGTTATTCTGTACAATTAGTACAAAGTAAATATAATTATCTCTCTGCATGTACCTAAGACAGGCTATTACAAGAAATTGGTCTATTTTAAGTGGTATATTCAGGTGGGTAGCCATGTTGGTCTGAAGTAGCCGAAGAAAATTTGAGCATGCCATAATTAAGGATACATCTGCCCATCAATCTCCAATTTTGACATATTTCTTTCTTTCACAAAGTTTCCCCCCGGAATTAAACCCAAACAAATAGTAACCATATAAACTAAACTTGTTATTCCTGTTTGGTCCTTGAATCTGTTAAACATCTTCATTGCACTGGGAAGGGCTTTTTACTCTTCTCCAGTTATACAGTAGTGTATGGAAAGCTGGGAAGAGCACACAGCTACTTATATACTAGTAGGCATATACAACATGTGTCATTGAACTAATTTTTATTTACACCATTTTTACTTGCAAATTCCATATCATGAGATTGTTTTGCTTTTTGGTTCTGCTCTGATCTAAAAAAAGAACTTCAAAATGCATACAGTGTTGTTTCTTGGACCAAGAACCAGGCATACAAATCTGCAACCAAACTGTGTTTACTTCTATCTGTTTGTACTCTAAATGTCCACTCTCATCCTGGCTAGATCCTGGGTGATCTACATGCAAATAGAGAAAAAGAGGTGATCTACATGCAAATAGAGAAAAAGAGGTGATCTACATGCAAATAGAGAAAAAGAGGTGATCCACATGCAAATGATCATGGACAAAATAATGAACGTTGCACATTCGTGTTGCCCGTCTGATGAAGTTGTACTTGTGGAAGAATATACTATTTCCCATGTTGTGAAATAAGCAACAGTTTCTTACGATAATGAACTTGCCACATAAGCCTTATATCTATATATCTAATAGCCAAACTCTGTTCTCTGTGTGGATACTTATTTCTGCCCATAGAGGGCTCATTCTCTCCCAACAGCATTTTCTACAGACTCAAGGAACTACCCGGGGCCTGCAGAAAAATCCAAAAAGTTTTTTATAAAACCCTTCAGGGAGGGTGGAATTCCCTCCAATACCTTTTGAAATAGCCTCCACAGGGATCTACTTCAGGCATCAACAGTGAGAGATTAGAAAGTTTGGGGGGGAGGCTTCTAACTGCCTCTATCAGTAAAAGGCGGGGGGGAGAGCCTATTTTGACCTTTGAGGGAGGGGGCCTTGGGGTTGCCAGTGCCAGCCTGGGGAATTCCTAGAGATTTTGTGCTGGACTCTAAGGAGGGCTGGGTTTGGGGAAGGGAGACGCCTCAGTTATAATGCCACAGAGTCCACACTCCAAAGCAGCCATTTTCTCCAGGGAGACAAATCTCTACTGTCTATAGAGTTCAGTTATAATTCTGGGGGGTCTCCAGGTCCCACTTGGAGGTTTTCAACCCTAGGCCTGGCAGCAGTCTAGGGTTGTCAGGTCCCCCCTAATTTGCATGACTCAACTAGGCCTGACTTCTTGCTACTGTTCATCAGCAGCTATGAAAGCCAGGGTGGTGCAGGAGTTAGAGCTTCAAAGTAGGGTCTGCAAGACCAAGGTTCAGATCCCCATCTTGCAGTGGAAGCTGACTGGGAGATTTTGGACCAGTCACATACTTTCAGCCTAACCCACCTCACACAGTTGTGCAGATAAAAAGGAGGAGAGAATAACATGAGCTGCTTTGGTCCCCACTGTGGAGAAAGGCTGTAATTTTCCTAGGTAGAGGCTGTGGGGGAGGGGGGTGGAGACGGAAAGCTGAAGACAGAAAGGAAGATAAAGATAGGTTAGCTGTTGGATGGGAATGAAGTAGGGCTGCCAACTCCAGGTTGGAAAATTCCTGGACATCTTAGGGGTTGAGCCTGGGGAGGGTGGGATTTGAGGAGGGGAGAAACTTCAGACTGGTGTAATGCCATAGACTCTACCCTCTAAACGAGCCATTTCCTCCAAGAGAACTACCATTGCCAGCCTCCAGGTGAGGGCTAGAAATCACCCAGAATTACAACTGCTGTCCAGGTGACAGAGATCAGTTACCCTGGATAAAGTGGCTGCTTTGGAGGGTTGACTATATGGCATTGTGCCCTGCTGAGGCTGCTTGCCTCCCAAGGTTCACTGTCCCAAGGCTCCACCCCCAAATCTCCAGGAATTTCCCAACCTGGAGCTGTCAGCCCTAAGGTGAATTGATCTCTGTTGCTGGGAGATCCGTTGTGATTCCCAGAGAGCTGCCACTGCTGCTATGGTGGGAGGGAGCAGGCGGGTGGCTGGGAGCGCTGATACCGCTGCTGCTGTGGGGGGTGGAGGAAGAAGTGGACAGGAAGCTGGGAGAGTGATGGGGGCAGAAAGAGAATGATGGGGTGGGGAGGCAGAAAAACAGAATGATGAGGGGTAGAAAGAGAGAGGAAGTAACATGCATGGAGGAGAGAGGGGGGTAAGAAAAGGGGGGGCAGAAGGGGAAAGAATGTGAGAGAGGTAGGGGGAGAGGGGAGGAAGCAAAGGCATGAGGAATAGAATAACTCTCCTGCAAGTTTCTTGCAGGTCTCCACTTGTCTAATATAATTGCATTTGATGATCCTATCTGTGGCCAAGTGGTACAAGTTAGTGTGTGTAATTTTCAGGTATGAGATATATTTGAAATCATGAGTGCTGTCAACAAACTGATACAAGAAGTTCAAGGGACAAATCAGTTTGGAGAAAATCCAGCTTAGAAAAAGGTAATCAAGGGGTGACATGACAGAGGTATGCAAAATGATGTATGGTGAATAGAAACCTCTCCCATGATACTAGAATGCAGGATCACTCTGCAAAGCTGACTGGCAGCACATTCAAGACAGGCAATGCAACTTTGCACAATGTGTAGTTGACTTGTTAGAACTCACTGCCACAAGATGTGGTATTTCCCACTGGGTTAAGTGGATTTAAAAGGAGGTTAGACAGATTTATGGAGGACAGCCTATAGATAGCAGAGCTTAGTCATAGACAAGGGGTTGGCATAGATCCCTGTGAGAAAGGAGGACCACAAAAGTGACATGTGGGCCCTGAGCCACCATGGGCTTGGCTGAATTTTAAAACAGCTGGGGTTGGGTGTAGGGTACAACTGCAGCAGGCGGGCAGCATCCTCTTCCCCAGACTGGGATCTGATAAAAAGTCAGGCCTAGCTGAGAGAAGGGAGGAAGGGCTGCAATGAAAGCAGGCCGCCAAGGGAAGGCCAAGAAAGGACTTCGTTGCAGGCAGCTCGCTAAAGTGAGAAGCAGAGATGGCTCTCAAGTAGCTAATAGGTCCTAGAGACCAAGAGGACTAGGCAGCTGAGAACAAGGACCAGCAGAAGTGCTCCCTGGGTGGGGCTGGCCAGCAGATGGGGAAGGATTGCAAATGCAGATCAAAAGGACAACACTCTTTAGCTCTGTGTGTGTGTAAGGAAGAGTAAAGAAAGGGCATGGCAGTTGTTGGTGAGGGTGGGCAAAAAGGGGGACACTCGGGTCATTTTGTAGAAAAAGAGGTGCAGGAGCTCATTAGCATAACTCATTAGCATAACTTATTTGCATATGCCACACACCCTGACATCACCAGAAGTGTGTCAGAAGGCAACACCCACTGCTCAGGCTCCACTGGACTGTTTTGGATTGCTAGCTATGGGGACACGCACAGATCCTCATGCTCCTCGTGGCCCGGGGCTGCTGGAAGCAGGGGGCAGGGTTGTTGCATGTGCCCACCCCCTGGGCTCTTTACTGCCGGAGCTCCGCTCCTGTGCACTCCTGCAGGAAATTACCCCTGGGGACACTGTAACCGGTGCCTCTGAGCACTAGCATGAAAACAGGTGCCCCTGCCTCCTGAGGACTAGTATGAAAATCCTCAGCTAACAAACCTTCCTAGAACAGGGCCACAACTTTGAAACAATCCAAATATTTATTGAACACCATTAGAAACAGTTTTGAATGCAAGTCAGAGGACTGAGGTTGCCAGTCCTATTGGTCTCACAAGGTTCCTGTGTTTTTGAAAGGTACATGGACAGACTACAGAATCACAGGCAAAAATGTGCTTATCACTGCCTGCCCTCAATAGGTACAGTTGTGTTGGTCTGTTAAGCAGCTTGCCATAGTGCAGAAGCCAGGTCAGGGCAAGAGAGCTGGCAACCTGACAGAAGACCAGTTTATATGTACATGAATCACTGCAGCTGTTGGTCATGTCATAAGCTGCTAGCTGGCAGTGTTTATCAGCTATAGATTTTTAGAGAAAGCCACTATGCAGGAGCTCCTCTAGTTTCTATAGTTTCCATTTTCCACTTATGTGCTTCAGACGATTCCCACGTTGGGGGGGATAGTGTAGTCACTGGGACAGTACTTTCTCACCCCTTGTACAGAGTTGTGGTGGAACTCCACCTGAAGTTTCTGTTTCTGCCACTCAATGGGCTCTGTTTATTTAAGGCGAAAAGCATTATGAGTGTTTGGCCAACAGTAGCAATGGTAGGAATGGCTGGTATTTTCCCAGAAATGTGCTTTCCACTCCCTACGCCCCCTCTCCCACTTGCATGTGGGGTTACACAGGACATTTCCAAG